TATGATCACGATGCATATGACATGAAATACTATTTTAAACTTCTTTTCAAAATTGATTGAGATTCAACGTTACATGTACATGCTCATATGGCTCTTGCAAGCTTTCTAGACAAATTTAAAGTTTCCCACATGATCAGTTGTGGTTTTTATACTTGATCACACATTACAACGAATTTCTTCCATTTTATTTATTAAATACAAGTATTATATAATAATTCAAAAAGAAGGCAAACAAAATGAGTATCCCTATATATAGTGTAAAAATTTTTTTGGCAATATCCGGAAATATTACACGGATGAAGATTAATTCTCTCAACAGTTTCCCAAAAAATGAGCAAAATTGCAGTTCGTATTATCAACAATAAATCATGAAACCACAGTAAGCTAGTTATCACGGAAACCCCTTTTATGTAACCAATGTTAACAGCTTCCTCATCCGTTTGTCAATCAGATGTAATTGTTATATCCGTCTTTGATTTTGTCTTTAGTAAAACTGTTATAAAGAGTTCAGTTCATTCACCCTAGGAGTACCGCACCTGCAGCCCCTCTCTCAATCCCTCTCTTAGTTACAGTTTAAAAAATCAAAAACTAAATATATATACATGTAGTAAAAAGTGTTTCAAACAAGACACATTGTTACATGTACCTAATACGTTTGTGCATATAAAATATCTAAACTATGCATTAAAGATATATAGACATAAATTTCGTTCTTCTTTTTTTAATTGGTATTTTGTTTTTCTGCACTGTATACAGGACCGATGTTCACGGCGTCAAGCGTGACGTTGCGATAGTTTACAACGTCATTCTTATAAAAAAAAAAAGATTTTGCGATATTTATGCCATTATCCAGATTTAAATTACAAGAAAACTAACCCGAAGACGTGCTAATTTTTGTGTCGCCTTCAGAGCAGAGCGGGACTAGGGGATCACTTTACCCGGCGTCTGTCTGTCTGTCTGTCTGATTGTCAAACCCTATATCTCAGGAACTCTAAGAGGTATGGATTTGATATTTTACACATATATTGCTTTGACCTATGGCTTTTGTAAATTACCGTGATTACCGACCTCGTGACCTTTGACTTACTTTTCAAAATAGCTCATAGTGACGATATACAGCATATTTTTGACTTTTAAGAGGTATGTCTATGCATGTGCACTGTTTGTCAAAAGACAATATGAAAATTACCATCATTACAATCCACTTGACCTTGACCTTTGACCTAAATGGAAAAAATATCTCGCGCAATTTAATTAAACTTATGAGTTTTGAATTTTGAGAGGCAGGGATTATATAATTAGCATTTATACAAGTTTATGAGCTCATGATTGTGTACTTTGAAACCATATGATGTTCAGTTACCAGACAAACCTATTTTTAAATACTATGAAAATACATCGGGATCGGTGTTCCACAATGGATCGTGTAGACTGAGAATTTCAGTAAAGACAGACTGAAATATCTTTTGAATGATTATTGGAAACACGTTTAGTTCATGAAAAAGTACTTTGAACCTGTATGATATTCAGTTACCACACAAACTTATATTTAAATACTAGGAAAATACATCGGGATCCGTATTCAACAATGGATCGTGTAGACTGACAGTTGTAGTAAAGACAGACTCAGTCTGATTAAAACCAAACCTTCCACTAGCTCCTTTATTTTGATGGCCTCTTGGAAGACCTACATGTATGGAAGGGTGGAACGATTAATTTTCAAGATTAGGAGCGTGTATAGCAGATATTATTTCATGGATGCCTACAAACTAAAACTAAACCAGGACAAAACGGAGCTTATATAGTTATTATCTTCTCTTCCAAACACAACGCAGCAAACATTCCACTACACCTCATTAAAGCTGAGGAAAACAATATTTCTGTTGCACCGCTTATCAAGAACCCTGGTAATTATTTCGATTCCCATCTTACACTTGAGAGTCATGTGTTGATATGTTACTTCCATTTTAGTAGTATTTATAAATTCAAAATAAACATACAAAAGGAGTTTCCCCAAATGTAGTGCAAATGTACTGCAAAATCACATACTGCATGGGAGAAAGTTACAGGCAAGATAAAACTCTGGCACTACTAAAATTCTCTCAACAGTGATCCTAAATTATAGATTTCATATACGAGGGGTGATCAGAAAGTTCGCGAACTATCTCTATATTCTATAATTATCATCTCCGCAACATTGGAAGGATTAGGAGTTTCATCTCAACAGATGCATGCAAGACTCTTGTGAACTCTCTAGTTACTTCAAGACTGGACTACGGGAATAGTGTACTATTTGGAATTCACAAAAGTTCTATGGAAAGATTACAAAAAATTCAAAACAGTGCAGCTCGACTTATAACAAAAAATAAAAAAAGAGATCACATCACTCCGATTCTTGCAGACCTGCACTGGCTTCCAGTAGAATTCCGTCCTAAATATAAAATCCTCGTATACACCTACCTAGCAGTGTATGGATTTGCTCCAATATACTTACAGGAACTGATTACTATCCGTAAAACTAACCGTACTCTACGATCGGACGGTAGTCTGCAACTCAATTTACCGAGGGTGCGCACCGGAACGTATGGCGAAAGACAGTTTAACTATGCCGCTGCCCATCTGTGGAACAGCCTTCCGGTGCGCATTCGACAAGCCAAATCCATTCAGTGTTTTAAAAGACAACTGAAGACCTATTTTTATAAATTAGCTTTTGATTAACTTTTTAAATTTATCTTCTTTTTTTTGTGATTTTTAAAAATATTTTTACTACTAGGCTTTTAATCAACCGTATTTTTTTTTCAATAGTTTCAATATTAGGCTAATTTTATTTTTAAAGCAATCTATGTAATGTTTTATGTACATTTTATGTAAAGCGCCTTAGGGTGATAGTTTTATTATATAGGGCGCTATAGAAATTATTTATCATTATATATATTATTATTATTATTAAAACCACAATTCAGATCAGAGTGAAATTTGGCACACATACAGTCATACACATGTACTATAAATAGCAGATGTTAAAGAATGTTTTGCTCCGTGTGACGTCACAATGTGAAAATGACGTCAGTATATAGGTCACTCGTGACAAAAAACGGTTGATTCAGTCGTACTCGAGCAATGAACGGCTGCAAAGTTTAACGTATATCTCGGAAATTCCTTTGCAGTAGAATATGATAATTTGTACAAAGTTTATGAAGACAAAAGACTTATAATTACCAGAAGTTCAATCATTAATTGGATTGAATGTTTTAGTGAAGGCAGGGAGATGGTTAAAAATGATGTTTGTTTTGTTGCCCAGTGAAAGCAAGCGAGTAAAAAGATGTGTCCTTAGTTAAGCAATTTGTTTCGAAAGATCGCCAAGTTACAGTAAGAAAAATAGTTGAATATCTGGGCAATAATATAATTATTAAATCCCTAAAATATCTTTTACTTTAGACTTTAAACATATGAGATATGAAAAAAAGAAGGCGCCCATACTTTTCCACATTGGATAAACGACGCTCCCGAGACAGAGGACTCGGGTTGTGATGGTCACCATGCTAATTCTGGGAAGGGATATCCTTATCCACCCATCCTATTGCCGAGATATGACCATTTCTGACAGATGGTCTGTTCTTGTTATAAAAAATTACTTGCATGATAAGAAATATAAAACTCGGGAAAATCTCTTAGCTTCTGTGAACAGACCACTACGAAGCATGTCACGTGACCGCCTGGATCACGTGATTCGCGCATGGGCAGAACAATGGTAGATGTGCATTAAAATCGGAGAGGAATATTTGAAAAAATAATGAACACTGAAACCTCATTTTATTTCTTTTAAGGAAGTAATTCTATTAGTTCGCGAACTTTTTGATCGCCCCTCGTATGTACAGAGAAATAAATTTACGAGACTGCAGCAGAAGAATTTTCCCCCAGGCAAAATAATTTTATGGTAAAAATGATGAGTCTGGGCTCTATTCATAAACTTGTACAGTATAAAACTCTGTTATAGCGAACTTCTGGGGACCTGCGAATTTACTTCGTTATATCCGTAATTCGTTATATCAGTACAACGAGTTCTTTAAAATATACATATATGCGAATTCAAAGTATTTTTTTTTTCATTCAAGTATGACTACCAAATGTATTTAGGGGAGTATAAAATACAAAATTTACCTTGGCTTTCAAAAGTTTTCATATGAATTGAGTTTCAAATATAAATACTTACGAAATTAATGTCAGTTTAATATTTTAAAAACATAGATATTTAAAAATTCGCTATAAAAGATGTAAATTTCGTTATTTTTACCCTCTAAGGAACACAGAATCAGTTCGCTATAACCGTAAATTCGCTATATCCGAGTTCATTACATCCGTAAAATTTAACAAGGAAATGTTAAGAATTTTTTAGGAGATAGTAAAAAACTTCGCTATATCCGTAAATTCGCTATATCCGTGTTCGTACTAAACGAGTTTTGCTGCACATGTACATGTTAACTGGATACTAGTGGGTTTTTTTTAAATCCGTAAACAGCGAATAAGCTTTTTGGTGGAAAATGTTCAGAATCCCTAACAAAAAAAAATACTAATAGTTAACTATAGTTTACTATAGTTAACTATAATTAACTATAGTAAATCAAAGTGTCAAAGTTATCACTATAGTAAATCAAAGTTTTCAAAGTTATCACTATAGTGTCATAGTGATCACTATAGTAAATCAAAGTTTTCAAAGTTATCACTATAGTAAATCAAAGTTTTCATAGTTATCACTATAGTAAATCAAAGTGTCAAAGTTATCACTATAGTTAACTATAGTTTACTATAATATTTTTTTTTTGTTAGGGATGCACCCTGTATACATGAAAATGAAGAGATTTCCCCACATTTTAAATGAATGGACAAGTAATAAGCTGGACCTCTTCTCACCATATAATCCGTAGGCAAAACTCCATTTTAAACAGATACTGTAATATATTTTATTCAATGAGTGATGTCCACTGCAAAAAACGGGTTAAATACTTTTTTAAATTTTCATACGTGTCAGATTTCCTGGTTTGGTAAACAATGTTGGTATGTAAATTTGTGGACTGTTTTTGTGTCCTATTCTATCATAAGCAAAGTTTGTATTACGTTCATCCCTCAATTTCATGGTCCCTCTCAACCACGAAAAAAAAAAGAAAAAAAAAATGTTTCACGAAAAAAGTATGAAACCAAAGTCAGCTAATTTACATAGAAACATTCTTTATATATTGAATGATGAAATTTTCCTCGTTCGTATGTCTATCGGATGTTACTGATATATCAACCTTTTCAATTTTATCAGATGTGAAATTGCTGAGAAGGACTCTGTCCATCTGCATCTTTACTTCAACTATAACTTGCAATCTGCCCAAAATTTTCTCAATTTCTTTCAAAACCCACAATATTTCGTTATCGAGGGCGTAAAAATTTCCATTGTGTTCAATAACTCTCATGCTCCTTGGAATTTCTGTCGTCGCAAAACTGTGAACAAGAACTTTGGCAATAGAATCTTCTCCATATACGTCAGATATTGCCGGAACAGTGAAATATATATTAGAAACCAACACCTTTTTCCTTTCTAAAGTTGGTAAATCTAATATGTTCTCTATTTTCTTCCAGTGCTCACCTCCTATAGGTGTAGAGATTTTCAATGAATCACTCAATGAAGATAAAAGTGATAAGTCAACAACAGGATCAGATGGTTTGCTTTTAATAGTGCCTTTTATTTCCACCTTTTTCCCGAATTTTTCTAGAGTTCTTGAGAGCCATAATCGGTCACAATCACTTGTGTAATAACGGCTATTGTTTTGAAAAACATCTAAAGAGCACAAGAAATTCGCTGACGTTTTTAATAAGCATTTATCTAATCTTTCACCCAGAGTTTGTCCATACGAGACACTGCGCATTTGATAGAACCCTACATCCTTAGGAGTTAGTTTAATTACAGGGGTCTGAGCAACCATGGAAGATGGACCAAACTGAGCGTTACCTAATGAAAATAAAGCTTCTTCGTATCGCTGTTCGTATCTACTTTGGATTCCTTCTCTTCTCAACATGTCTAACCTGTATCTGAGTGAGCCATTCCCTTCATTACTAGAGGGCGTCGCACTCATCCTGGCACTATTCCAAGTTCTCCAAACACATCCCCCAGGATCTCCACGAACCCGGATCGAGATTCCAGAGCTGTTTGTTGTGAATTTGGATGGCTGTATATATCCAAAACGTACTTCAATTTCCTCACATTCACCAAGTTCTTCTAGTTTCTTGAATACCCATAGCCTTCTATTGTCTGATGTAAACGTCAATCCATTGAGCTGAGAGACGGTTATTGTTGGAATTTGATCTAATGTTGTTCTCTTCAGCAGTAAATCATCAAGGGTTTCTCCTATACGTTTATAAGAATGAATTGTTCCTTTTCCGAAATGAGACCCAATAGAATCCTGACTATATCGTATATCAGATGGTTTCAGATAAAGCATATTTTTACCCGATCAATTTCCTGGAAGACCACTTTACTTTCGCTTTCGTTTTTAAAAATATATTTGTTGGCACTATTATAAATAATTACACGAAGGAAAGAAAAGGGGGAGGGGGAGTGGAGAACTTTGTTTTGTTATAATTAAAGGCGAGTCCCATCTGAAGATACACGAGAAGGGGATAGGACTGACCAAAAACAAGATGCCCATGGGCCAGAACGCTTACCTGAATTACTATGACCCTATGTCTCCAGCAGCTGATTTTTTGGAATTTCCTTCTTTAATTTCATATTTTTTTTTTTACTATATATTGTGTACCAAAATAAAGCCATAAGAGAACTATGGTTTAATAAAAGTTAAATCCACACAACACTTGGATGCTTTCTGCATAATACGATCAACATGGCCTGATCTCTAACTTCGGCCCAACTTTAACCTAGGGTTGCATAATAAATAATGATTCCACATAATTTAAGAATGCTTTTCTTTTTAATATGATTTAGTGTGGTCTTTTCACTCTTGAACAGATTTCATCCTATATTCCCTTTTGTAAAACTCTGATCCCAAATTTTAGCTTCAACCTGTTTTCAGGGGTCTTGATTTGAAAACTTGTATTTAAACTACAAGTACCTTAGGACACTTGCATATCACTTTGACTACGATCTTGACTTTTCTGTTCATAAAAGGAAACATTTTCAGAATTTTTCCATAAAAAACATTTATCTTATGTCGCCCAACTATAACCCGTGGCATAATTGGATCTACGGTACCTTGGGATGCTTCTGTATTAATGCTTTAGGGTTCTTGAGAAAAATTTTAAAGAATATTCACTGTATTCATATATTCCTATATTGAAATTTGATCGTCCAGTGTGGCTCCACTCTGCCCTCAAGGTTCATGATTTGAACAAACTTAAATTTACACATTATAATGCAGCCATCATATAGGTTTTATCTTTTCTGGTCCTTTTTTTCTTGAGATTTAAAAAAAAAGCCATTAAATTTCTACTTTTTCTTTATTATATATCCCTTGAAAGAGGGTGTACGTGGTCCTTCATTTGAATTAATTTGAATCTCCTTTCCCCAAAGATGGCATGTGCCAATTTTTTTTTAATTGACCCAGAGGATGAAATTGAGAAAAGTTTACGATGACGACAGACAACAGACAAATGTTGATCAGAAAATCTCATTTTAGCTTTTGGCTCAAGTGGGATAAAAAGGATCATTCAGACCACAACGTGTCATCGTATTCTTAAGGTAAATAACTCTACAAAAATAAATAAGAAAGAGAAAAAAAAAAGCTCTCTATACACTGCATCCTAAAGCGTTCTGATTTTGTGGTATATTTATACAGAAGCATTATTTTGCTCTTTGATCTAGAATAAGTAATTTTGAATGAAATTACATTTCCAAGATTATCTATGGCCAGAAGATGTGTTACATGTATGACCTTGACACACGGTCATTTGGACAAGTTGAACGTCATTTTTAGAAAAGAAAAAAGTTAATTCATGTGCTGTCCATATCTTGTAGTGTAGTATCTGGCAGATCTCAGCAAATTTCAACTGAAAACTTGACAATTTAAATTTCGGAGTAGTGGTCAGGTGAAAGCTTTTGGAGCAGGTACATTATTAAAACCTATATCCCACTCCCCCGCTTACTTTCCGTGGATGATGCAATATGGGTTACCTACTACATATTTATGACGCTCTATAGCTAATGCTTTTAAACTTTCCATAGATGAACCACATGTTTTATAACATATACATTATGTGCAGTTTTTGAGCAGACCCATGAGAAGTCTTACCAGAATCAAACTATAGGGGTCGATGTATACTTAAAAATATATATTACCAAACATGTTTTGGATGCTGACTCCAGTGTATTAGTTCCGGATTTGTGCGGGTTATAGCGATTAGGTTTGATTCATGTGCATACGTTCTACAAGGCCAAATAAGTCGCAGTGTAGATACACGTAATGCATGGCTACCAGTCTTAATTTGGATGCTGAATATGTTATACTTTTTGGAGCAGTTCATACGATCCCCAAGGAACTAAAATATGTTAGCTCTACCCAGAAAGAACTTGTGTAAATGATCCATCGAAGGGTGTAATCTACCAACCATACTGATATTCAGACCGATCGACTCACTTTTCTAACTGATTATGAATGACTACTAGTATAGGTTAAAGTTTATTGAGTACGTCTATTTCCAAATAATGAAAAAGAAAAAGAAAAGAAATAGATGAGTGAACAATCTAAATGTGTTGTGTAAGTCCATTTAAAATATTTTTAGTCCGACTAAATTAAAATTCGCATAGACTATATGGATGATACCGTTGTCTGGCTTCCGTTTCTGTTCTTTGGCTGCTAGTATATACACCACAGTATCCAAACCGCCTTCTCAACGAATGTTTGTAAGTTGTGGTTAATTTAATCAGAAAAAATTAAAAAAAAAATTAAATAGACAAAGAAAATCAAATTTATCAATATCTTTAAGAGCTTTACATATATCAATGACCATCTTCCTTGTTCATGAGATGTGTATAGTACAAGGGTCCTCACTTTACGAAACGGCTTTGCATTAACACACACACACACACAAATCCCGCGGAATGCTTTTCAACTCCAGGAAACACAAGGAAGGAAAAAAAATCACTCGTTCGATACAAATAAATCCCATCCTGGTTCAATCAGATATATTTCTGCTAGCTTTTTGATATGTTCATACACGACCAATACATGCTGCATTAACGACTGGAAGTTAACCTTCAGATATATTCTACTTTGTGTAAAGACTTTGGACAGAATCATGAATTCAAAAAACTATACGGATAATCAGCTATTGGAGGAAATGAATACCTTGTTTGCCAAAAGAGGCGCGCAAACATCGGCTGTGACCATAGCAATCGTGGTAATCGGTATCATAGGGAATGTATTCGTTCTTGTTGCCTATTGGAATCTGCACAAAAGAAAGACCAAACAACTAAAAGGCCGCTATTTCATGCCCCATTTAGCGCTGGCAGATCTCATTGCGTGTGCCGTTGGATCCTTTGTGTTTCTGTTCTTTGACTTTCATCGACTCACTTTCTTTTCAGACGTTGGGTGTCGACTGTCGACTTTTTCTGCATGGTCGACTAACGCAGTGTCGGTTTTGATGCTGCTTGTGATTTCGGTGAATAGATATCTAAAAATTTGTCGCCCGCATCACCAACAGATGACGCTGTTCTGGAAACGTGCCGCTTTGTTAATTATAACGATCGTCTCCATTATTTCATGCTTACCATTCCTTCATTTTTCGGGAGTTCGTCATGGAAATGTAAATACGACTGAATTTGCTGACGTCATGTATCTGCCTCCACATCTACAGAACAGAATTCTACCTTACAAACAGTGCGCAACGGCGAAGGACAACAATATGCTTTGGAAGCTTTTCTATAATTTTTTGTTTATTGTACAACTTGGAAACATGGTGGCTATGATTTTTCTTTACGTTCCGATGGGGAAAATAATCTACCAGAAATATCGAGAAAACAGGGAATCGCATCCTGTGGAGTACAAGGCAGGTATTTCAGATAGCAAAGGGACGACATTTACCTCCGAAAACACATCTCAAGATGAAAGTGTCGTCCCCAGCACTGATATTGCAGAGTCCAGTGACGTCCAGTCTCGAAACGTCACCAATCAAATCAGAGCTCGTAAACCACGTGGCCGAAAACAAAAGGCATGGACTAATGCTAGAAACAGATTCACTGTCATGTTTTTGGTTGTCGTTATAGTGTATGCCATTACAAATTTACCAACTTTTATATTTTTATACGCTTACATGGAGAGCAGAAGATTTCGAAGATATTTTATAAGTGATTCAAACTTTGAGGTATATAATCTCGTTTTGTCTCTACCACGCATTCACCTGATCAATAACATTGTAAATCCTTTCATTTACGGCTATTTCGATTTGACCTTTAGACGAGAAGTCAAGGCTATTTGTAACAGTATTATCATGAAACCCAAAAGAGTTTGCTGTTCCTGCAAAAAAGTAGATTTTTAATTGTATTATCCTTTCATTTACGGCTATTTCGACTTAACCTTTAGACAAGAGGCCAAGGCTATTTTTTACAGTATTATCATGAAACCCCCAAAATCTGCTTTTCCTGCTAAAAAGTAGATTTTAATTGTATTATCAAAATGCAAAAATGTACGAGATGTACAAAGACGTCGCGCATAGTACTGAGTAACGTAATTGCGTAACTTGTAACACTAAAAGACGGGTGCTAGTAGTTTTTAGTCATTTTTTTTCGTTTTGGTCAAAGTGATCTTTCCGCCAATTTGCACAAAGCTTCTATAATGTCCTATGATGATGTCATACAAATTCATTAATAAATTTCCAATACTGGCCGATTCTGACTGTTCGTAAAAATAATAGCATTCCGTAATATGCCGTGATTTTGTCAGGTAACAAAAATAAATGGAATGTTTGATAAAGAATTTTCCCCATATAACAAGTTCTTTTGGTAAAACTAAAAGGATAAATAAAATGAGCAAATCGAGAAGTAGAAACATGTTTCTTTAAAAAGATATAAGCAAGTGAGTGAAGAGATGGTAGACTGATTTTGATGTCTAGTCGGTTTTGTTACTATGAAACAAATAAGCATATTATGATATTTTACGAGACGTATATCAGAGATGTGAGCTCTTTTCTGTTTTAAGTGGAATACTTGTTATCGATAAAAATCTTATTTTTGAAATGTGCTAATAAATAAAATTTTATATTAAAAAAATAGAAAGAAAAACCTTTTTAAAGAAAACAGAGCAAAAATTGGATGTCTAGTTTAATTTGTTACGCATTCAATTTTTAACGTTTCCATGCTTAGACAACGTAACGTCAAAAACAGTTTTACTTGCAAAGTTGCCATTTTTAAGAGAAAAACAAATCTTTCATCAGCAGAATAAAATATTAATTAGTGAAAAAAGAAGGAAAAAGAGAATGAAAGAAGACTAGATAATAATAAAAAAAAGATTCTCGTAAGAAAAAGTCAACATTTCTGATTCAGTACTTTCACTTGGACGTAAACTTTAAGAGTTTTAATGACGCTATTTTGACGTTACAAAATGGGCCCCAATTCCTTGCGCGATGTCAAAATAATAAAATTTTATGTAAAGGAGATAGGTGAATAAGGCGTGCAGAAAGCCTATAGCTTCAAATGTATAAAGATCATTCAATTTGTTACTTAAGTATTTATAGAGTAAAGTTCTCATTATTGAAATATATGGAATTGTGAGTAAACAAATATTTTGAGGAAAATGTTCTCGGCAAAAATTAATCTATTTTATAAATGTTGTATTCGTTGGGTTCGAACCCTAGCAACAAAAATTTTGAGACCAGCATGCTAGCCATACACCGACACAACACCTGATAAATAGTGGTATTTAAGGAAGCTCGAAACACTAACAAAAGGTGCTTTTTTGGAATTAATTGTGCGTAATGAGACTATTTACATAGGGTACCTGCCTTATTTCCGCACGAAAAAATATTCAATGACAATGGACTATTCGTGAACAGAAATCGCTGTTGTTTACTTAAATAAATAACTATCTTTTCTATCTTACTTCTGAAGGCAGATCACTCATGCTGCATAAAACTATCCTACAAGTAGAGCTCTTTTGTGTGCAGTGTTTAGAGCTACCTTACACCATGTTTGTGATACTACCCTTGACTAAATGGACTTCAAGTATTTCTCAGAAAGATACGAATACTGTGTCATAAAAGTGTATTTTAAGGTATAGGGAGAGCCTTTGCTTCATTTTTTTTAACCAATAGATGTCAATTTTTACGCAAACTTTGAGGATAAACCTTTTTTAAAAAAGGGACCGAAGACCAACTCATGTCGAAAAATTTTTTATAGTATGAGAAAATGATCCTTTTAGCCCTCTCTATAGTGTGTGTATGCTATTTCATATGCAAATATTTTCAATCTTTGTGAGATTTTTGCAAATTGTGGAGATTTTACATAAAGTTTACTTTAATGTTGATAAAATATCAAAGAAAATATTGTTATAATGGAGATTGGATTTTTCACCTTCATGTTTGTCGCACTAAAGGCATTTCGCACGCCTTGTTCGCCCATGCATCTTCTTCAGATGTTCTGCAACAATTCAATGTTCCATATGTCCTAATTAAACACACTAAACCTTATATCAGTGGAAGTACACACGTTATTGAATTACTAGTATTTTTTGAAACTATGTATTTTGTAAAAATAATCAACAATTTCCTTGAATAAGTCTACTTCCCGATACCCATCTACTGCCACCACGGAAAACAGGCTGAATTTAGTTGATTTAAGAGGGCTGGGTGGTCATGGCCGTTTTTATACTATACTTCTGGGAAAGAAGCGCTCCTAAAGTCATTAGACTTGCACTGTACTTTACTGTCAAACACTGTTAAAAATCAGATGCAAAGTCGATTTTCATGTTTTATCGACATCCACATTTTACATGTGTTGTTTTAATTTGCTATTTCAAATATTCTCGTTTAAAATTTGTTCATAAGCATAAATTGAAAATTCCATGTTTAATTGTTATTTATATTTTGTGTGGTAATATAAATTTTCAGTGGCTCATAGGGGAAAAGTATAACTATACAGTTGAACTTCGGTATCTCGAACAATGATATCTCGAATACCATGGATATGTCGAAGCGATTTGGAAGTCCAAACCCCTTATTCTTAAAGTAATTTACCCTCCGTATTTTGGATATCTCGAGCCCTCGGATATCTTGAAGTTTTTTCTCGGTCCCTTTGAGTTCGAGATATAACGAGGTTTGTATCCATACTGATGGAACAAGGCGAATGTTCTTTCTAATAGGGCGTACACATGTGTAATAAAGAAAATGGGGTGTTTCTTTGATAAATCAATCAATAGCATGCAATAACATTTTAATTTTTAAAGCGAATAAATTTTGATTAGAAGGTTCTAGCTTTAAATTCAATTGAAATTTTGTATTATGAATTATCTGATCATATTTCTTTTTAAGGGTGCACTTAATGTCATCCTAAAAATCGCAATTCCAGGAAACATAGATGTACTACATATATAGAGGAAGTTATTTAAAGAATTTTTTTTCGGTTGATCAGAGGTGAAAATACTTGTACTTGAATTGGGTGAGTTGTACTGAATTCATTGCGACCATCTTTTCCTTACCTTGATCAATGAACAAACATATACATATATCATTTTTGATTGAGAAATATTAGTTAATGACGTTTCTTCTTAATCAGACGTACTTTGAATATGTCACAAAATTTGTATCGATTTCGCGAGAATTAAAATCTCTGTTAATTAATAATGTCATTAAATGTGGAAATGAACAGTATCAAGCTCATATAGTCCTTTTAAACAATACAAATCAAGAGCAGAGCAAATTAAGGTATTTCCACCCTCCTGTGATGTCATAAGTTTAGGCAAAATTTGATTTTATACTAAAAAGAAATATTTTTGAAGAAATGCTTTTCAATAAGTGTAATAAAAAATAATGTTTTGTAAATCATTTAAAAAATAAATAATTTCTTTATAATTATATCGCTTACAACTGAATCAACCAGCTAATCTTTAAAAAATGCTGATGAGTGCAGTAACCGTGTCTTTCTTCATTCCGGTATTTTCTTTATTAACATTCTGCTTAATGGATCCCTGATATTCACAATTTCAACATATTTATGAAGTACATGTAACTATTACTTTGGAACTTTCAGTACCAAATCCAGTTTAAGATTTATGTATTTAACCAGTTTTACATCATTTAAATAATACTTTACATTTTTATGCTGACATATACTTGTTTATTTATATCCGAAATCTTGAAATATATGGCAACCTATACATTTTTGCGATTACTAATTAATTTAAACTATACTCAGTGAAAATAAATGCAGTTTCTCTACTTTGAGCCCATAAAATTGTGAGGGTGAAAGTACCTTAAGCAGCACTTAATTAAATACTCTCAATTGCACTTTGACATAGCCCTAGGGAGAAGGGGGGGCACATAAGGGGGACATGTCCCCAATGATTTTGCCGATAAATACAATGTAGTAAACTATAGAAAACGAAGCTACTATATGGATGTGCCCCCTAAGTTTTTGACGTATAACGTACATTGGTTAGTTGTGCCCTCCCCCCCCCCCCCCCAAAAAAAAGGTACTTGAGATTCAAACATTCTTTTTTTTCAGAAATTCCATACTACATTTACTACGGATTTTATTCTTATTTTTAAAAAAAAATCAAAAAATAAATATATATACTTGTCTAGATTGCGTGGAATTAAAAAATCTGACTTCCACACCTTTTTTTTCTTTGATTAAAATTTTAGCAGATTTGCAATTAAACTTGTAAACATGATTTACTAGTATATGAATAAAATATTTATTTCAACATCTTTTAACCCCCCCCCCCCACTTTATTGCAGTTAAAAACTGAACACTAAATAACTTAAAACATCGTCAATTTCGTGGTTATTTCATCGTTTATAAAAACCACAACCTCCCTTTTTCTCCTCAAGACCTTGTCCTTGAATTTGCCACAAATTTAGGAGCTCGTGTAATCTGAGAAAACAGGAAGTTTATCTTTATTTTTAAAGTTTGACTTTATCTTTCTCAAGCTTTGACGTACATTTTCTTAAGAAATTAATATCGTGATACACACCACGACTGAGTTTAAAGAGTACATCCCTTGCTCTGAGAAAATCTTCAACTAACTGAAATCAAATCGGAACGGTTCTTATGAAGATTTAAATACACTGTTAAATAAAATTCTAACTCAAATTCAAACACTATGAATGGCAAAACTATTACCGGAAGTATACTTGTACAAAAACGTTGAACATTCATAGTTTAATATTATATTAATCAATCAACAAGTGTGCACATTAAATGTCATGATAGGCCCTTCATCATGTTGATTGGTTTAGACGAGATCCTCTGGTTTTTGCTTCCTTAAGATGTATTTCATCCATATGCAGGCCCTTTGAACTACTTTGCATTAAGAACAAATACTGTATTACTTGACAATGACAATGCTTTATTTACAATGAAACAGATTGCACTTGACCAGAGTCATACAATGGCCCAAATATTCAACATACACAGTGGTTTTAGGAAAATCTAACAATGAATATAAATACCTTAATTGCTAGCTTTTCATCACTTTCAAGAATGATCACACATTTTCACCCCTCCTACCCCCCCCCCCCCCCCCCCCCACTCTCCTAAGTAAATCAAGCCTGAAGCATACATATGCAAGGAGAAAACAGTGACTTAAAAAATGAAAAATTCATTATTTCAAATATATCAAATACTGAATAAGAATTTTCAATTTCGAATATTTTTCATACAATCTCAATATAATAAAGAAATAAAGTTCAAACTATCAAGGAAAAGACAAGCTTTATGTAAAAAAAAAAAATATGGTAAAATTCATAAGAAAAAAGTATACATCAGAGGCCACTGTTTTCTGTTGTCTATATGGGTCAGATTTCACTTCCTGTCACATGATAAAGTTCACTTCCTGTCATGTGACCTACTGCTGGCTTGCATTATGCTGCATTGTGTTAGGTAGGGTTGGACGTTCCTCTAATTTATCATACTCCAAATGGAATTCCTTTGCAACCCTTCTCCAGTTCTGTACATCAAAGAAATAATAGGTTCCTCGCTCATAAGTTGTTGCCTTCATCACAGGCTCCACCCCTGGCGCCCTCGTGATCCACACCCTCTCCTCCTTATGATAGCGCCAGTCTCGTGTGTACCTACATTGCAAAAAGGAAAAATTCTAAATCATTAATAAATGAAGTTTTCCCAATATATTTAAATTCTCACTTTCTGTTTTATACTGTTAGTGCATTTTCAGTCATCATTTTCATAATGTAGTACTCGGGTTCCAATCCCATTGTGGGACATGAAAACCGGTCCTTCAGATGAGACCAAATAAATCTAGGTACCATGTCACAGTAGGTGCTGGCAGGAAAAAGATCCCTCACTGCTCAATTGCCCTGAGTGCCAAGTATATGTCAAAATTTGCAGTCCTCCACCCACAAGTGGTGGTGTCCCCATATGAGTGAAAAATTATCGAGTGGAACGTTAAACAATAAATAAACAAACAAACAAACAAAACTCATCATCAGGATCCCATTAAACGGAGAACCCTAGGGTGTCCTCTTTGTAGAACTGCTAGTCATCCTACTGCAAAGTTTTATTTATAATTTTTGTGATGACAAGTCATCAACCTTTCATTGAAAGCAATACACATGTACCTATATAGTAGTCCTGGAATTTCTCAAATATATGTTTCCTTCCCTAGCTATGACAGAATATTTTCATTTCCTTAATCCTGACCTACCAGTATAAGTGTCACATTGACCTAGATATTAAGTACAACAGAACTAAGACAGCAAAAAAGATGCTAATTATGTTTATGTCCAAATTATACAATGTACAATAACTAACTGCCAAATAATTACAAATGTGTATTGACATAAAATCCTCTACTGATAAAAACATTTTTTAGAAAGAGCTGGGTTCACTTTATCCATAAAACAGCCCTGTTCATAAACCAGTCAATTGACCAAGACCCAGTGTCCCATTTCAAACATTGATATAGAGACCTTGTGCTTTCATTTCCATAAAAAGGTACCCTCTGAGAGGGCAGATATTCTTCTAATATTCTTTAATATAATTCAATAACTATGCATTAAGATAACTGGCTGTATAAGCCTATGAAATCTTTTTCTTGACAATAGACAAACCACATGCAGTAGAACTCAGTAATAATTAAAGAAAAACTCATACACAAAGAGGATATATTATACAATTAATTACCCCTTATGCGGTCAACATGGTAAAATAAGGACCCAAGACCTGGCCCACGAGGTGACCTGTCCTGACCGAGGCCGCGTAGCGGCCGAGGTCAGGTCAGGTCAGCGAGTGGGCCAGGTCGAGGGTCCTTATTTTACCATGTTGAACTCATAAGGGGTAATCAATTGTTTCATTATACCGATATAAGTTAAGGCAATTTTTGTAAGCTTAATTACTAAAATAATCAATTACATGTATAAGACCTACGAACTGTTATCAGTGTTCCATCGGGATCGGGATTCGCTTGTGAAGTTGTTTACTTTTCGGCTGCTAGTCTTGTAAGTTTTTGCACCGCCGATTTATTAAAACACTCTGTGATTGTCAGTAACATTGCATTTTTATAAATTCACAGATACCATTCCCGACTACAATGACAATCTGGTGCAGACTTTTACTGTACAAGAGAGCCCAGTCTGCGTTCGTTGAATTTGACATTGTATTGTAACGAAAGTTAATTTCAATGAAAACGATAAATGTTATGACGCATCTAAAGGCCAATCGTGTTCCTTATCCTAAAAATACTATACATATTTTTATAACGGCAATTTTTGTAATGTACAATCATTACTGTATGCATATTTTTTTTAAAATTTGAATGGAATTTGGATTAACAGGTCATTTTTAGCGGTCATTAATTTTATTGACCGGTCATTATACCCCACGTGCAATGATTCCTAGGTCATTATTGCTGTAAACGGTACTTTTTGGAGTCATTATTGAGTTTAAAAGCCTTCTAACAAGCCAATCAAATTTGAGTATTCTTAATAGAGGTATAATAAAAACATATAATGAGTGCCATCCCAAAATGCTATGTTGATTTGTAACAAGAAGTGGTATCTTTACTCTCTATATAAAAACTTGGCTTCTGTGCCATAAAAACATTGGTATGTTGCTCTCGGACCATATTCACAAATAATAAATTAGTAAGCTGGTCAGTTAAGTTTACAGAGACCTAAACAAGTGGGATATTTTAGCAAAGAGCAAAGTTATGTAGAAGAGACAGTTGGAGAAACAGTCCTACGTGGAACACACATCAAGTTTACATATCACCCAAAACTTCATTTGCAGGGCAGGGAATGTAAATTTTTTATGCCCCCGGATCGAAAGATCCCGGGGGTATATTGTTTTTGTCCTGTCTGTTTGTTTGTCTGTTTATCTGTTTGTCTGTTTGTTTGTCTGTTTGTCTGTCTGTCTGTTGTCAACTTTAACCTTGCCCATAACTTTTGATTGGTTGGAGCTATGACTTTCATATTTCACATGTGTATTCCTTGTGACAAGACCTTTCTTTGGGTACCATCATATTTGACCTTGACCTTGGAGTTTGACCCACTTTTGCAAAATTTTATGAGACTTTAACCTTGGCCATAACTTCTGAACAGTTGGAGCTTGGGGTTTCAAACTTCACATGTGTATTCTTTGTGACAAGGCCTTCTTTTGGATACCAACAACTTTGACCTTTTGACCTTGACCTTGGACTTTGACCTACTTTTGAAAAACTTTAACCTTGGCCATAACTTTTGAACAGTTGGTGCTTAGGGTTTCAAACTTCACATGTGTATTCCTTGTGACAAGACCTTCCTCTGGATATCAACCACTTTGACCCTTTTGACCTTGACCTAGGAGTTTGACCTACTTTTGAAAAACTTTAACCTTGGCCATAACTTTTGAGTGGTTGGAGCTAGGGCTTTCATACTTCACATATGTAATCCTTGTAACAAGACCTTCCTTTGAATACCAACGACTTTGACCTTTTGACCTTGACCTAGGAGTTTGACCTACTTTTGAAAAACTTTAACCTTGGCCATAACTTTTGAATGGTTGGTGCTAGGGCTTTCATACTTCACATATGTAATCCTTGTGACAAGATCTTCCTTTGGATACCAACCACTTTGACCTTGACCTTGACGTTTGACTTTTATTTAAAAAACTTTAACCTTCACCATAACTTTTGAACAGTTGTATCTAGGTCTTTCAAATTTCACAGGTGTTTTCCTCGAGACAAGATCTTTCTTTTGGTATCAACATTTTTTATCTTTTGGCCTGGATTTTGACTTGCATTTGAGAAACTTTAACCTTCAACATAAGCTGCCATACGGGGGCATCAGTGTTTCACAAACACATCTTGTTTTGTTTGTTTTTTGTTTAACGTCCCTCTTGAGAATTTTTTACTCATGTGGAGGGCTGCAAATTTATACCTAATATGCTCGACACTTAGGGCCATTGAGCAGTGAGGGATCTTTATTGTGCCAACACCTACTGCAACACAGGACCTCGGTTTATAGGCTTCATCCGAAGGATGGGTCTCCATGTCCCACAGTGGATTCGAACCCGTGACGTAAGGATTAGCTCCTTACTTCGAGACTCTAGAGCAGACACTCTAACCACTGCACCATGCAGGCGATGGGAATGTAAATTAATCACAAGTCAAGATGTCAGGGATTTATCTAGATGTTTAGTTTGACTACTCTTTACACTTAAAGAGGGGGGGGGGGGGGGGAATCTAGACTTCGGCACTGGACATGTCAATATACATGTACCAATGGAGTCTGGGCATGCCCCTCTGGAAATATTCATTTCTAGATTTAGCACAAATAAATATATTTCAAGTATCACATGCATGTTTCATCAAGATATCTTCTATAACTAAACATAGGTAATCAGAGATTACAGAGCTCACCTCAACGAATGTTGTCTTTAAGTAAGTCAAAGTCCGACACTAAACTAATAATCTAGTAATGTGCATCCCTAGATGCAACATTTATGCAATTTTGGTTTGATAGGGCTTGCAGTTACTTGGGAATGGACTTACCTAAAAACTTAAAACTAGTCACTCATCCAGAAAATGTAAGTCAAATCCAGAATCTGAAGCAAGTTTGAGAGTGTTCATCCCTTGATGCCTCATCCATGCAAGTTTGGTACAGATAGGCCTTTAGTTACTTAGAAATGAGATCTGCTTCAAAAACTTTAACCTGGTCACTCATCTGGAAAATATAGATCAGATCCAGCATCCAAAGCAAGTCCAGTAGTGTGCATCCTTAGGTGTATCTTCCATGCAAGTTTGGTCAATATAGGACTTAAAGTTACTTGGAAATGAGATCTGCTTCAAAAACTTTAACCTGGTCACTCATCTGGAAAATGTAGATCAGATCCAGCATCGAAGCAAGTTCAGTAGTGTGCATCCTTAGATGTATTATCCATGCAAGTTTGGTCAACATAGAACTTAAAGTTACTTGGAAATGAGATCTGCTCCAAAAACTTTAACCTGGTCACTCATCTGGAAAATGTAGGTCAGATCCAGCATCCGAAGCAAGTTCAGTAGTGTGCATCCTTCGATGTATTATCCATGCAAGTTTGGTCAATATAGGGCCTATAATTACTTGGAAATGAGACCTGCTCCAAAAACTTTAACCTGCTCCAAAAACATTAACCTGGTCATTCTTTAGCTGAAATTGCAGCATCTGAAACCTTGACTCCATGTATCTCCTAATATAGGGCATAGAAGTACTTGAAAAGAAAACTGCTCCAAAAACTTTAACCTGGGACGCCAACACCGACGCCGAGGGTATTACATAAGCCCCCCAACTTTGGTGAGGTGAGCTAACAAGAGGCCCATGGGCCACAATGCTCACCTGAGTCAATATGGCCCTGATGTTCTACGTCAGTAGATTTCTCCCATATATTCATATATAAAGCTTTGATCGCCTGTTCTAGGCATACCTTACCCCCAGGTGCCATGTTTTGAATGAAATTGAATATAAACCTTCTGAGGATGCTTCTATATTCATATAACTAATCATGGTTTTGCTGTTCTTTAAAACGGAATTGTAAAGATGTCTAACACCCTACCCTGGGAGGGGGGGGGGGGGGGGGTTCATGATTTGAACAAACTTGAATGTACACTACCTGAGGATGCTTCCATATCAATATGACTAAACATGGCTTTGTTGTTCTTGAGATTGAAGAAGATTTATCTTAAAAATATTTCCTATATATGTTCTTTTGTAAAACTTTGATCCCCCATTATGGCCCCACCCTACTACTTGAGGATGCCTTGAACAAACTTGAATCTACAATACTTGGGGATGCTTCCATATAAATATGACTAATCATGGCTTTCCTGTTCTTGAAAGATTTTTAAAGATTTTTCCTATATATTCCTATGTAAAAATTTGATCCACAATTTTAGCCCCACCCTATCCCCGGGGGTAATGATCTGAACAAACTTGAATCTACACTACCTGAGGATGAGTCCATATCAATATGACTAATTGTGGCTTTGTTGTTCTTGAGAAGAAGATTTTTAAAGATTTTCCCTATATATTCCTATATAAAAGTTTGATCCCCCATTGTGGCCCAACCCTACCCCCAGGGGTCATGATTTGAACAAACTTGAATCTACACTACCTGAGGATGATTCCATATCAATATGACTAATTGTGGCTTTATTGTTCTTGAGAAGAAGATTTTTAAAGAAATTTCCTATATATTCCTATGTAAAACTTTGATCCCCCATTGTGGCCCCACCCTACCCCCAGGGGTCATGATTTGAACAAATTTGAATCTACACTACTTGAGGATGATTCCATATCAATATGACTAGTTGTGGCTTTGTTGTTCTTGAGAAGAAGATTTTTAAAAATTTTCCCTTTATATTCCTATGTAAAACTTTGATCCCCAATTGTGGCCCCACCCTACCCCCTGGGGTCATGATTTGAACAAACTTGAATCTACACTATGTAATGAAGGTTTCACATAATTTTAAACTTTTCTGGCTCAATGGTTCTTGAGAAGAAGATTTTTAAAAGATGACACCAAATTTTCACAAATTCTTAATTATCTCCCCTTGGAAGAGGGCATGGCCCTTCATTTGAACAAACTTGAACCCCCTTTACCCAAGGATGCTTTGTGGCAAGTTTGGTTGAAATTGGCCCAGTGGTTCTGGAGAAGAAGTCGAAAATGTGAAAAGTTTACAGATGGACGGACAGACAGACAGACTACAGACAAAATGTGATCAGAAAAGCTCACTTGAGCTTTCAGCTCAGGTGAGGTTAAAAATGGAATTTTGACATATTTTTTTCAAAAGGGGAAGATACTGTTTACCGGTAGTTAAAACAGCATTCATCTGATAAATGCCTGGATGTTGTCTGATTTATTCACATTTGTTAAGAATGTCAACTCCTTACAATATCTCACTCAACAGAACAGTATGTGCTTTCCCAAATGACAAAGCAAAGGACTTAAAAGGAAGTATTCTATGGGAAGAATTTAAATATAGAGCAAGAAAAGGGCTTGACACTTACAGCTCTGCTGCTGCCGCCAGTTGTATAAAGTCATTGCCATTCATATAGAATAGAAAGAAAAGTACGTCCTCTCCATAACGATTCAGTTTGATTGGTGCAAGCTGGAAAAAAAAAAAGAACAAGAGGCCCAAGGGCCTTAACGGTCACCTGAGTATAATACAACAATTTAGAAGTTAAATACACTGATAGATGAAGCATTGTTGCCCTAGCCCTAGCCCCCCCCCCCCCCCCCTCTCCTCAAGAACCCCAAAAACTGAGGCCATATATTTAAAAATTTTGGAAGAGGCATCCTTGTCTATCATAATCATGCACTTAGTTTGTTTAGATAATCTCCAGTAGCAGAGAAGAAGATTTTCAAAGAATCAATGCATTTTCACTATATAATCAATAGAGCCCCGCCCTAACACCAGAACCCCTGACCCTGGGGCCATGAAATTCACAATTTTTGAAAAGGCATCCTTATGCATCATAACCATGCATTTAGTTTGTTTAAATAGTCTCCAGTAGCAGAGAAGAAGATTTTCAAAGAATCAATGCATTTTCACTATATAATCAATAGAGCCCCATCCTAACACCAGAACCCCTGACCCTGGGGCCATGAAATTCACAATTTTTGAAAAGGCATCCTTATGCATCATAACCATGCACTTAAGTTGTTTAAATAATACCCAGGAGCAGAGAAGAAGATTTTCAAAGAATTAAAGCATTTTCACTATATAATTAATAGAGCCCCGCCCTAACACCAGAACCCCTGACCCAGGGGCCATGGCTTTCACAATTCTGAAAGAGGCCCACCTCCTCATCATAATTATGTACTTAGTTACTTTATTAAATACCCAGGAGCAGAGAAGAAGATTTTCAAAGAATTAATGCTTTTTCACTATATAATTTATAGAGCCCCGCCCTAACACCAGAACCCCTGACCCTGGGGCCAAGAATTTCACAATTTTGGAAGAGGCACTCTTGCTTATCATAACTATGTACTTAGTTCCTTTATTTAATACCCAGGAGCAGAGAAGAAGATTTTCAAAGAATTAATGCATTTTCACTATATAATCAATAGAGCCCCGCCCTAACACCAGAACCCCTGACCCTGGGGCCATGAATTTCACAATTTTGGAAGAGGGCTCAATGCTTATTACAATGATGCCAACAGTTTGACTGCTTCATGTCCAGGAGTAAAGAAGAAGATTTTTAAAGATTGCATTAGTTTTGGTGGTTTTAGCCCCACCCCTCAGGCCCCGGGGGGGGGGGGGGGGGCAGGGACCATGAAATTTACAATTTTTGTTCCCCATAGATGCTATATACAAAATTTGGTTGAAATTGGTTGAGCGGTTCTAGAGAAGAAGTTAAAAATGTTCAAAAGTTAACGGACGACGACGGACGAAAACAGATAGCAATAGGTCACCTGAGTGACTCAGGTGACCTAAAAGCAGAAATATATTCATTATTTTCACATAATTACATGAGACCCTCAGCTTGCAAAAAATCAAAAGCCTGAAAGGCTTCAATGACGTCGAAGAAGAAAAACAATTTCAAAAGATCTTTTTGAATTTGAAGATAGCAATAAGTCAAGTGAGTGACTCAGGAAACGTAATAAAAAAATAGTTTAAACAAAAAATCAAAATTACAGTCTGGGGCCTTATGTCATGGTCCGAATGGAGCAGGGTTCGAATTGACCAGACACCGTCGAATATGTTCATGTTTTTTCAGTCAGTTGAAGAACTATGAAGGATTTCATGAATTTATATAATATTTTTTTCTAATTGCCAATGTCAATATTAGTGATTGCATCTAAACTACAACCAAGACTCTGTTCTGTTACAATTACGATCGAGTTACGATCGGGCGTGGTATACGGTATACCGGGAAATTGAGGAAATGGAGAAATACAGCAATACTGGTCAATATCATCGGTTTTCAGGATAGAGTTGGTTAGAAGATTGTATAAGTAAAGCTAAGATTTAGAAATTCAATCTTTTCAGTCTTGTAGTATTCGTGTTTATGTAATTTTGTAATTATTTTACCTCCTGTTGTGTTGTTTATGTTACACGGTTATCGTTCCGAAATGTTATTCATGTCATTCAACGCACCCTTTCTGTAGAAATTCATCCGCAACAACCATCACGTTTTTCTTGTGTGAGAATAAAACATAATATTGTTGTTTTGCAATAGAATTAATTGCAGATATAATTGATGCAGTTTTATTTTCAAGCTATTATTCATTTTGAGCGTTTTCAAAGAAATTGGTTTATAGCTATTGCTACTTTCTATTGCGGATGCATCGACTGACACATTCGGTCGCGTACATATCCGGTCACGATTTCAACTGGGCGCTTGCTAGATGACGTTCGAGCTCCAAGAGCTCGACGTCATAAAAATTCACTCTTAAACATATTATAAAAGGTTATATATACAAAAATAAACTGTTCATAAAAATTTGGTATCACTCATAAATACCAAATTGCCATCTCGCAAGAATAAGGTACGTGTTGTGAAAATTTGCTGATTAACAGCAATATTCCCTGATAGGGGTTTTTCCATCTGTACAATTTATTTGTATCATAATAAAACACAATTAAGAGCACTTCATATTTTCTTTCCAAGAAGAACATGCATAATACTTGATCATACATTCATGCCATACGTTCAACATCATGTTCCAATACACCATATCATTGCACTTAAGAAGATTTTTTTCAAAATAAACAAATCCAATAGGCAGAGTTAACCAATTTAATCATAATTCTGATAAAGGGTTCATTGCTTGTTGATAATAAAGCAAACAGTTGCCTGTTGTCTGATGTTTAAAAAATTTCTCAGATTCAATGAATTTTCAATTAAATTTAATAATCTTCAAGATTGGATAAACTTTGATGGTTATGGCTTCACATCTGTGGAAAATCAACAAACTGTGAAGATTCTCCCCAAATTTCACCATCTTTGTTCCCCCTCATCCAAATATAATGCAAACCAAAAACTGCTTGAAATTGTTACAGCCATTTTAAAGAATTTGAAACACAAGATGGATGGGGAACAGATAGAAATAGTTCACTTGAACTATGAAGACTTCAAATTTAAGTTTCAAATTAATTTTTCAATACTCAACATTTGAATATGTATTTAAAGGACCATTTGTATGTTCAAGTAGAAAAGTGTTTATTTCCTGATGTTTTTTATTTTCCTGTTGGAAAGAGTACCAGTTCAAACTGGTAATGGTTAATGAATATTTTTTTCAAAACTAACAACTGCTTATGAAGTATTTGTGAATTATCTAAAAGAAACAAACTTAGTAAGAGGTACTTTGTAGATACTGCAAAAAGACTTTAATTTCAATGAAACTGCAGATATTATAGTTTTTACCAAAAAGGTGTAAAATAACATTCTGAGAAATGTCATTACATGTAAAAGTTACAAAAACATTTTTAGTTTAAAAACTGTTAAATACCCAGTAATTATATGAGTTTCACATTTCTCACTTACTAACACATGCACCATACATGAAATACTGTAAAACCAACTATTACTCATAACAACATTTATTCCAATTAGTCAGTTTGAAATCAATCTGACACTATAAATTTTCATGACTGAGAAAATATTCTACAGAATTACTCCAAAAGATTAAATTCAGCCTTGTATATCTTCATGCCAATAATCCACCTTCTGAATGAAATTTGTGGAGAAAAGTGTATGTGCTTATGTCTACTATAAAATGTACGTATCAAAAATCGGGGCACTTCAATCTTTTGGAGCACAAGCATCTGGACTAATGAAGCTTAGACGTTAAATTTAAATGCTTCCCAGCAACAAAGGTGGGTCCAGCGCCGGTGCAGGCCCCCATTTGAATTTTTTTGTACATGTATACAGAACTTGTATATATATAACTTGTATTGTATATATTTTGTACATGTATATAGAATATGTCGATTTTCCTAAAATCAAGGGGAAAAAACTTATTTGTAAGAATTTGTCACCGAACCCACAACAGGGTTTTGCCCTGGACCCACTGGGAGCTTCAATGCAACTCCCAGTCCCCCTTTTTTCTACTGCACCCATCATCCCCACCCCACTCATTACGAAATTTCTGGATCCACCACTGAGCAAGAAACATTGGCAAAAGAAGGTCAGAAACTTGTGGATATTTCTTGCACATTCAATGAAATTGGTAAAGTTACAGTAAATATTGTGTAATAATCTCCTCATACAATTATACATACCTTATCTCTAAGGAATATGTTAGTTAAGTACTCCGATGGCACATGATAATCTAGGAGAGAAAGAGAGAAAAAAGATATATTACATGTAGCATGATTAGTAATTCATTTTAAATGCATTTAACAAAGAATTTTTTTTACATATAAATCTGTTACATTTGTAGTCAAATTGCAAATTTCAAATCAAGGGCTTGATTTTTTTAAATAATACCAAAAACTGTATCAAATATTTATTTATTAAAATTTTTAGGCAAATATGTTTCAGTCTTTCCAAGTTACTGAAACATGCAAATTGAAAGTGACCTAGATTTGTTATAATGACCTAGATTTTGAAGAATAAGATGATCAAGAATTGCATCTACATAAAAATAAAATTTAAATCTAACTTTATAACACTGTGTATTTATAAGAATAATCAAAACTATGATGGAAATGAACATTATCAAATTCTATCCATGATATTATTAATAAGTGATTTTATCATTATACTTTAAACTGATTGATGAAAACCATTCTGATGGAGCGTGAGAATCAATTACGAGTCAAATCTTTCCAAGTACTTTACAATTACAATATTGTACTGATCTCATGAAACACACAGTCATTTATATGTTATAATAGCCCCATTATTTCCAAACTTAATGGAAATGTTTGATCTTTTAAATCAAGGAAGTAACACAAATGTGTATTGAACAGGCCGGTGACACAGGTTGTTACAGCAAACTATTTACAATTTCTCTCATCTTCCCAAAATATTTTTTTTCAAAATGTAATGACACAATTATGATGGGTGACCAAAAAAACAAAATATTTTTAATTGTTTGAAGATCATGCAAGTGATATCAAAATAATTTATTTCCCTCTAAATGTGCATAAGAGTTACAAACAATTGCTCGGACTTTTATTAAGTGTTTATTTTCATATTACTAATTAGAATAGATATTAAGATAGCATCTATTTCAAGGGGGTCCTAACTGTCATCAAGTAAAGGACATTTGGATGAAAAGGACTTCTGGAGAGGACAATTTTTTTTACCAAGAATTTTTATGTCTCAGTGTTGAGAGAAATTTTTGGGGGGATGCATTTTTTTTTTAATTTCTTGCTTTCATGCAGTAAAACACACTTAAGGTTCATCGATACTCTGATAAGAGAGATAACTCTCAATGACATAATTAATTAGTCTATTATTCCTTTATAAATTTGTGAAATTAAAGTGTCCTTTTTGTCCAATTTTGACCTGAAAGCCATGTTATAATTGTTTGTATTTTACTTAATAAATACATTTCCTTTAGAAAATCATAAGAGTTAAAGAAACATTTTATATGTGTGAGCAGAGGGTTTATTAACCTTAAAACAAAGTGACAGGGACAACTGAGTTTGCTATGTTATATTAAGCATAATTTGTTATATCCATTAAGTTCACAATATTTTAAAGACATGGGGAATGAAAATCACTCAGGTGTAAGTGTCAATTTATTATAAGCGTGTCTTACTGTAAATTATTGGGGGGGGGGGGGGGGGTAAATATGTAAAAGGTAAACTTTATTTAACATTAATTTATATAATAATAGAATTTACACTATAGTCTTTGACCTTGAATTCTGACTTTTTTTTTTTACACAGAGGACTGCTTCAACCTTGACCTTTCATTTAAGCTTTGTTCAAGTTCACAGCACTACCTATACTAATGCTTGAAATATGATTCAGATGGGACTGAGGGGAGATATATTATGCCCAAGACAAGGATTTAACACAAAGATATTCTTTTCTAATCTTGACCTTTGATCTACAAAACTGGTACAAATTTTTTGCAAACATATAATTAAAGTTGCCAACTCACCCAATTTCTTTGGGTTACATCTGATTTTTCAACCCATAACCCAATTATTTTTCATGAGACAATCTTAGCAAAATCGGGTATATAGTATAATAGGGGAGAAGGGACTTAGCGAGCCGCCATTAATTCCTCGGTGCCTTGCTTCAAACTCTCAAAACTTCAATTTTCATTAAAAAAAAATCAATGAAAAAGTTTTGCCAGTCAAAAGGCACAATGTTGTATTTTATCTTCTTAAATAAATCATTTTTCTTACTTCATTAAAACTTAGAAAAAAATATTTGAACTTCCAAGAACTAGGTTGCCATCATTAACCATACAGCATTTTTTCCATGAAATTTTCATTCAATACTTTGATTTTTTTGCTATTGGCATCTGTTGCACTCTGTCTTAGGGTAAAGTTTTAAAATATAACTGCTTTTGGTCATCCTCACAATATTTTAGTGCTTATTGTAAATAAAATAATTTTCAATACACAAATGCTTATTGTACATAATTATGCAATATAAGAGTATAATATAATTCTGGTAAAAATGCCATGAATGTTGTTAAATTATGGCCAACTTTTTACTTTCCAGAGGGTCATTACTCTGTTTTTTTCAAATGTATGAAGGCTGGCAAGTATGCCCATTATTTACAGACACTCTTACATTGATTTTTCTACACCCAATTTAGGTCCAAATATCGTCCCTTTCCCCTCTCAAAATTTACCGATTTTTCCCCAATTTCAGTTGCTTTTTCCCAAAAAATATCTGCTGGTTTTTTTTTTGTTATACTGAATTTTTTATGTACAACTTATCTAAAATGGAATGCTATCATTCTCAGTCATTCAAACTCTTAAATTAATGGTGAGGAATAGCTGATTATTTTGTGCATTTACAAGACATAGAAACAAACATGCTTTTGTGTAAATACATCCTAAGATGCATGTGAACTGACGAAACATAGCTTTATTTGTGAATCAATCTACTAGTAGTTTTACAACATGCATCCCTGATTCCACAAAAATTGAACTGTTTCTAGACCCGGCAGACGCAACTAGTATTGCAGAGAAATTGCATCAATATGATTACGGTAATTGATAAAGCTTTAATAATTTGTTAGAAAAATAAATTATTTGTAAAAAATCATGTCAGGTTATCCTATATTCAATGGTTATTACAAGAAGGATTTTCTCTTATGTCTACTATTATGACAAAAAAAATTTGAAATACAGGAAGGCCACATTTATTGAAAACTTTCAAAAATTAAAAAAAAAAAGTTTAAAATGCAGAATTGTGCCTAATTTGTTATTTTGTAGCATAAAAATTGTAACATTTACTTATATATTTTATTTTACCTTTCAATTAAGGTTAATAACAATTTTAGTGATTTTTCCCAATTGTAAAGGCCCATGCCACTTTTAAAAATTGTAGAAGAATCACTGCTCTATGGGTCAAGTTTGAGCAAGGTTGGACCAAGGGGAGAGAAAATACATTCTGGACAAGTGTTTCAGACCTACAGACAGACTATTCCCTATAGGGTACAAGCAGAGCAGGGACCTGGTAATTCTAATTACCTTCAGTTTTAATCATTAAACATAAGAAAATTACACAATCACCAAACAACCAAATGACACAGTTTGCGTCAAAAGACAGTTGTGGATTTGCCCTATAAGGTAAATTGTTCTCGTAATAGTCAAAAATAAGATTGCAGTGAAATCTTTTGTGCACACACATGAACATACATACAATCCTCTATTGCATACTAATAAAAAGTTGATATTAAGAAAGACACGAATACAAACCTATATCTTGAGGTCGACAGGGAGAATCTGCCCAGGGGGACTGAAAAGTACTGTAGAGATTTCTGTAAAAAAAATTAAAAGATTTGTGTCATTAACCAGCAACACTGACCTAATGATAACAATGGTTAGTTTGTCCTGTATACAGGATTTTTTTTTTTGCCCTTTCACACTTGCAATCAATTTTGCCCCATTTTAAATTGGATAAGACACAGCTTCTGTTTAAGAAATTATGGTTTTCTTTTAACTTCCCAAGTTTTAAATTCACACACTTGTGCTGAGGGCAAAAGGGGTGAAAATTAAACAGGGGCAAAAATTTCCCTGAATACAGTATATGTATTTAAATCAGAATATGGCCATTTACTTACTCTGGTGAGTTGAGATTTACTTACTCTGGTGAGTTGAGATTTACTTATTCAGGTGAGTTGAGATTTTCTTACTCTGGTGAGTTGAGATTTACTTACTCTGGTGAGTTGAGATTTACTTATTCAGGTGAGTTGAGATTTACTTACTCTGGTGAGTTGAGATTTACTTACTCTGGTGAGTTGAGATTTACTTATTCTGGTGAGTTGATTACTTACACAGGTGAGTTGAGATTTACTTATTCTGGTGAGTTGAGATTTACTTACTCTGGTGAGTTGAGATTTACTTACTCTGGTGAGTTGAGATTTACTTATTCTGGTGAGTTGATTACTTACGCAGGTGAGTTGAGATTTACTTACTCTGGTGAGTTGAGATTTAACCCTAACGTTGTGAGATCAATCCCAGGAGCTAGGGCGATGAGATTGTGGTCGTTTTCATTGGCTGCTCGGATGAAGGATAGAAGACCTGCCACTCCAAACTGGTCAGTTACCATCCCCGAGGGAATATTGGACACCATGCCTAAACAGATAAACTCACACTTCTAACCATCAGTTTATTTCTGAATATTCTGGGGGGAAAAAACAATTAATTACCAATTCTTCCTTGACTGAAATTAAGTACAAGTCAAGAAATACATGTAGCTTGCACTGTTTTTTAATACAATAAATCAATGGAAAATCAATTTTGATACTGTAAACCTACTTTTTTCCATGGGGTCATAATTCTGCGGAATCACAATTTCTCTTCAATCCGTGAGTACAAAATTGCGCAAATTTCCTGGATTGCCATTATATGTGTGAAATGCACATTAAGTATGATGTAACAAATTTCCATGGAAAATTTGTGACTGCGTACATAGCGTAAATTAATCTCACACAGAAAATGGTACACTGTATGCCTACAGCATCTGTAACAGACTGCACAGGTCTGCCAGCTTTCTTTTATTTACTTATTTATTGTATTGTTTTGTAGTATAATGTTTCAAGGACTCTCACAATGAAATATGACAAATGAATACATTTTTTTTGGTCCAAAAATTAGAATTCTTTAGAAATGTCTCACAATTTAATATTAATCAACTTAAATACATCATCACTGTAAATAAGTCCCACTAACCATCTGCGTGGGTCTGTATGCCTCGTTTTGACTGGTTTGTCTTGTCACCTGGAAATTTTCCATCTTTCAAAATTTGTTCATTTGTTGACGATGACGATGAAGCGCTTGTGGGCTGAAAAATAAAAAAGAAAATTGTGATTTGAAAATTAATGTTGACAATCTTAATAGCAACATTAAGTTCTTCAAAAGGAAACAAAAGGCCTGACGACTGCTATAATCAGCTGAGAATCATGCAAAAAACTTGACAAAATCTAAAATCTAAAGGTGCCAAATTTATTTTCACCAAGTACAGAATATCAAGTGCTTGCAGTTTCCATGTACAAAAATATGCAATTCCATGTAAATCAAATTACTGAATGAAAACTTAATGTTAACTTCCTAACAGTACAATGGGTTTGTGGCTTGATCTTGGTCTGAATAAAAAGATTTTATCTGATTTAAGAAATACATGTACATATATTAAACTTTAGACAACATTACTACATAAATATAAAATATGACTTACCGTTTTCCTGGCTGTGTCATTTGATACACTTGAGGGTGGATCTGGGGGAAAAAAACAGGGTGTTCAGAGATTAAAAAACAAAAAAAAACAACAACAATGCTATTCTGATCTTTAACATACAGATGTAAGTCTTTATCGGTCTTTATCAATCTCAAGAGAAGAAACTGTGTTTCTTAATTATGTACAAAGTTTGAAAACTGAATACACTACAACACTTAATTTGTATGTTCAAATAAAATAAGTTTTAATTTTTCAAATTATTTCAACACAGAATTCTGTGTTGCATACATAAGAAGGGTGGGAATAAAAAAATATCTGATATTCCTTCATACTTCAAAAGATTGCTTTTTCTAAACAGTTATTCAATCATTTTTCTATTACTGTAAGAGATAGATATTGAACTTTACATGCACAAAGATGAAAACCAAGTGAAGTAGAAATATATTCTGCCTTACTCTGTGCCCCAGGGAGGGCGGGGAAATCCTCCTGCTGGATTTGGAACTCGGGGGCCGTCTCCGCTACCGGCTTACTCACCATCCCCACTACAACGAAAACAAACTGAAGATACCAATATACCCAATTGGCCATTGTTAAGTCAAATCTACCTTTTAAATAAATCTTACAGCTTCAAGTTCTAAAGCCTCTATTTTTAAGCATTTGTCAAAATGAGGTAGTTTACGTGATTAAATTTTCAATAATGGGGTACATATCTTAGCATTACACAGGCTTTCTACAGTGCAAATCCACAATTGCGATAAAATATATGAATGCTCACATTTATGGTAAATATGATGTGTATTATTTTTTAACTTAATCAATGACCTACAGTTCCGATTTTTAAGACACTAAATTACATGTAGGTATGCATACAATACTTCATTGATAACATCTGGGACTGAAAAAATTAATACAAAAATATCTGCCCATTACTTCACATTTTGTTAAAAAGAAAACAGATAAAAGACCTTAAATCCTACTTGCAGAACCATAGGAAATGAAATTGAATGATTTCCTTCAATCTGACTGAGATCCTACTATCATAGTATCAAAATAAAGAGCAGTTCTCTTTACATTTCGTACAGGTATAAATCTTCAGGATTTGGTAAAAAACAGAAGGACGGGTCACTTAGGCAGCAATTATAATAAGCCTTAAAAATTTTCATGATACAGTAAATTATGTCACCTTGGCAGCTCCAATTAAAAAAGAAATGTTAAATAAAAATTAAATCAAATTTAAAATCCTTTCCCATCCAAATGGACTTTTTCTATATATATATATATATATGAATACATAATTCCAAGTCCCAAATTCATCAATGCCAAAATGACCCTGACCCTCTGCAATGAACACATATTCAAACCTACCACCATACTGACCGTAATTCCTCACGGAAGAAATCGGCGTAGATGGAAGGTTCCTGTTTCCTAGAGTGGGAAACTCTGACAAATCTAAACCGGGCTGATCTTCTGTACCAAATACTGTCAAAACAAAAACACAAAGTCAACACATACATCAGCATACTAAAAACTATCAAAACAGAAACACACACAGCGTGAACAAGGATATAAGCCAGTGTACTACAACCTGACAACTGCTAATTACATGTTTACATGTATGTATAAACTGCTAAGCTACATTCATAGTAATAAATTACTGTAAATGTTCAAGAACTTTTGTTCTGCATTGTACATACACATGTTCATGAACTTCTGGGTTGTACTTACACATTTATGAACTTCTGGTTTGTAATTACACATGTTCATGAACTTCTGTTCTGCATTATATTTACATATATTCAAGAACTTCTGGGTTGTACTTACACATGTTCATGAACTTCTGGGGTGTACTTACACATATTCATGAACTTCTGTTCTGGGTTGTACTTAAACATATTCATGAACTTCTGGGTCGTACTTACACATGTTCGAATCTTCTGTTCTGGATTGTACTTACACATGTTCATGAACTTCTGGTTTGTACTTACACATGTTCATGAACTTCTGGTTTGTACTTACACATGTTCATGAACTTCTGGTTTGTACTTACACATGTTCATGAACTTCTGTTCTGGGTTGCTGTACACTGTGGAGTACTTGCTCTGTCGGTTTCCACTCTGACCAAACACAAAGTTGTTGTTAATACTGGACATTGAAGCACTGAAATGACAAGTAAAATCTCTATCAGAGAAAACACACACAGAAATCACAGACAAAATGTGTAGAACAACACAAACCACAAACATGACAAGATGAGAATCTGCATTCAGCAATGACAAATTTCTGTTTCTGTAAATTATTACAACTGTGTCATTTTTTACCTGTTCTGTAATTGCTTGCTCTTTAACTTACCTGTTCTTTAATTTTTTTCTCCATTCTGTAATGTACTTGTTCTATAATTAATCTTTTATGTAATTTACCTGTTCTGTAACCTACCTGTTCTGTAATTTAACCGTTCTGTAATTTACCTGTTCTGTAATTTACCTGTTCTATAATTAATCTTTTATGTAATTTACCTGTTCTGTAACCTACCTGTTCTGTAATTTACCTGTTCTGTAACCTATCAGTTCTGTAATTTACCTGTTCTGTAATTTACCTGTTCTATAATTAATCTTTTATGTAATTTACCTGTTCTGTAATTTACCTGTTCTGTAATTTAACCGTTCTGTAATTTACCTGTTCTGTAATTTACCTGTTCTATAATTAATCTTTTATGTAATTTACCTGTTCTGTAACCTACCTGTTCTGTAATTTAACCGTTCTGTAATTTACCTGTTCTGTAATTTACCTGTTCTATAATTAATCTTTAATTTATGTAATTTACCTGTTCTGTAATTTACCTGTTCTATAATTAATCTTTTATGTAATTTACCTGTTCTGTAACCTACCTGTTCTGTAATTTAACTGTTCTGTAATTTACCTGTTCTGTAATTTACCTGTTCTATAATTAATCTTTTATGTAATTTACCTGTTCTGTAATTTACCTGTTCTATAATTAATCTTTTATGTAATTTACCTGTTCTGTAACCTACCTGTTCTGTAATTTAACCGTCCTGTAATTTACCTGTTCTGTAATTTACCTGTTCTATAATTAATCTTTTATGTAATTTACCTGTTCTGTAATTTACCTGTTCTGTAATTTACCTGTTCTATAATTAATCTTTTATGTAATTTACCTGTTCTGTAACCTACCTGTTCTGTAATTTAACCGTTCTGTAATTTACCTGTTCTGTAATTTACCTGTTCTGTAATTTAGGCATGGACTGACTTGTTTGACTCTGAGACATGACATTTCTTTGACCTCCAATGGCAGATATCATATTTCTGAGGAGAAAAAAATACATTAGTGACTACAATACCTGACAAACCTATTCTTAAAATTCCATGTAGAGTTGGAGCGAAAGACTCCCATTAATAATGTGCTCAATAAAACAAATCAAATTGAACACACATTACTTAATTGAAAAATACAATCAGTTGGGTTGTGTTCAAAATAATAGTGGCTATCTAGGTCTACACACAACTATGATGAACCTTCAATAGTATGACAGCCTAGCTGTAACAAGTATAAAATTCACACAGTGCATTTCATACACTTAGATATCAAGCCTAGCTGCTAGACTAACATCTATTATCTTGAACATAGCCCTGAATATTTAATGAAATTACTATGTTGGTTGATTGACATTATCTGATTGACTGACATTCCATTGCTGACTGACATTTTTACCAGGTTGACTGTCATTATCTGGTTGACTGACATTATCTGGTTGACTGACATTATCTGGTTGACTGACATTCCATTGATGACTGACATTTTTACCAGGTTGACTGTCATTATCTGGTTGCCGACACTATCCGATTGACTGACATTCCATTGTTGACTGACATTTTTACCAGGTTGACTGTCATTATCTGGTTGACTGACATTATCTGGTTGACTGATATTCTATGGTTGACTGACATTACATGGTTGATTGACATTACCTATTTCTTTGACACACCATGGTTGACTGACATTACCTGGTTGACTACATTACCTGGTTGACTGATATTCCATGGTTGACTGACATTACATGTACCTAGTTGACTGACATTACCTGCTAGGTGAGGGCTGCTGTTGTGGTTGCTGTAGATTATAGGGCAGGTTCATACTTGTGGGTGTGGAGCTACTACCCCTAAACTGGGGCCCTGACACTGCCCCTCTCTGAGGTAGGGCTGCAAAGTTTCCTCCCAGGTTGGCATTTGTACCTAGGCCAGAACTTCCACCTATGTCAACAAAAAAGGCATGAAAATAGGGCATTGTATTCTGTCATAAGTATGTTTACAAACAATTACAGAATATTTTATTCAAGTGGTCACTTTCCTCATTTTCCAAAGGTGGGTCCTTAACACAGATTTGACAGTATATTTGGTCACATGAAGAGTTATGTCTCTTAATTCAGAATTGTATTTACCAAGAAAATGCATGAAAAATAAATCAAAGACACTGTCATGATTATATATATCTTGTGCTGTCTAAAAATGAAAGTAGGAAGTACCTTGTGAGTAGAAGTTGGACGGCCCGAATCCTGTAAGTTGTGAGGGAGACTGTGACATCATCTAAGCAACAAATATCAACAGGATAAACAATACGTAGCTGTGGAAAACACTAACTGATCAATTTTCAAATTTCTGTTAGATAAGAAATTCTAATTTAAAAACCTCTTCAACTGTACATCCTACATTTTTATTAACGTAGAATCCTAGGGTTAATTTAAGGTAACATTCACAACATTCAAAATTTTGCTGGAATCTAATCTTATGATTACCTATCTAACAGTTTTAGTGTCATACTGTCAGAGCTTCAACCCACAAGAAAACACTACTTACATCTCTATCAGGCCGAAACACTTTGGCAGAATTTGACATGGCACCCTGTCCAAGATCTAGCTCTCCGTCATCATCAATATTGAGTGCAAGAATCTGAAAAAAAGTCAAATCTTTGCTTAAACTGTAAGTCAACCTAATTCTGCAGTACTAAAATTTCATGATTTGTAAGAACCAGTCGGATGGTTTTAATTTCAAGCTATATCTGTGCGTATGTGTCTTGTGACAGATACTTCATTTACTGTATTATTATGTGACCTGATAACCCTAATTTACCACAGTTTTAATTTCATGGAAATGTCATAAACCGTGAACATAGTAAAGTAAAATTTATTGGTTTAATGTCCAAATCTACAGAAAATGAATGTGGTGCTGTAAATCGGTTTTTGTTCCTGAGAACATTATTTTTGCATAATTATACAGGACCGTCTGTTTGCCAAAATTGCATTCTCTAGTCTAATTGTATAATCAAAGATTTTATGCTACAATGACTGAAATTCATGAAAATTTCGTGTTGCTTATATATAGTAAATATCTCTCATGAAAATAATATGTCCAGAGAAATTTGGTGGTCTACAGTTCTTGCAATATTACATTGACTTCTAGGAAAAGTTTAAGCTGGTGTTATAATAAGATAGAGATACATCTTTCATTGCTAGAAATTTCAGAGCATACAAAACTCACATTTTGCTTGGGTGGCCCTGGGGGCATTTGTTGACCCAGAATCTTTCTGGACCCTGGGGATAATTCCCCCGTCCCCTTTCGGCTCAAGCCGTACCTGAAACAGACAATCAAATTTTCTTCTCATCTGATTTTCTTAATTTATAACTTGAAACCTGTATCTTTGTAGATGAAAACTTTTCTCTGTACTCTCAAATGCTACTAAACATCAATTTTCTAAAAACTCTTGTCAAGAGACAACAGTGAACTGAACACAAACAACTGACTGAGATTAATCAGACATGGTCAAATCACTTCCATATATAACATGCACTCAACATAAAAACTGAGGAATTACATAGATGTGGTCACAAAGCATTATGCTTTCTTGAAAAACTAGCTTACCCTTTTAATATATTCCATGATGAAGACCTAATATCACATGTAACTGAATAGCTCAAGTAGATACTAGATATTGGTCTTAGCACTTACCTCCCTTAATTTGACCAACTTCGTTGAATTGATGTGGGTGCACAATTAACACTTAAATGCAATGACTACAATAGTTTTCTCTTTTTAATTTGACATACGTAGTTCAATTTCAAAAGTTATCTTAGAGTGGTCTCATGATCTGTATTTATAATAAAAAAATACAAAAAAAACCCATAGTATTACAGGTATTGTGAAATCACTATATTTCTAAGGGGTTTAATTTTTGTGGATTTTGTTGATATTTATTACCCCCGAAAATGCAATCCCAAGGAGTATTGATCTATTAATAGACTATCATTACTCCTTTGAAATTGCTCCTCCATCAAGGAATTTTGGTCTATAAAAAAGAGCCCCATCAAATAAAATGATTCCACAGTATAACGACATATAAAAAAAAACACTGGGTCTGACGAGAGCCAACATATCTATATGGGGGATACATCAAGAGGTTGGGTCCGTACTGTGCAACATTATGGCATGATTAGTCTCGTGAGCAATTTGCTCCCCTGGGCAAAAGTGCATGCAATGGAAAATGAACATGATGAAGTCATGCAGTTTTTTTTTGCACAAAATGAACCATAAAAAGCTTGTTTTTTCTTGCCTAGTTCCAAGTTTGAAATTGTCACAGAATGTCTATTGTCTAAACTGCATGCAAATTTGTACATTGACGTAAGTATTTGTGAAATTTTTTTCTCTCAAAATGCAGTATGTGGTATATATTGTTCAGTGTAAAAGTTTGGGATGATTTTTTTTTTCAGTTAAAATGAAATTGAATTCATAGATATCATGTATGTAGGTATACATGGTATAAGCTTTTGACTTTTATAAACATGACAACTGTCTCATAACAGAATAGAAAATCTAAAATGCTGTATCTGAAAAGAACAGTCTGTAGATATGTTTCATACAACTATACAGAAATTTCACAAAATTTTGACATTTACAGAATTTGTGTAATAACATGATGAAGAAATCAAATATCAATATCTTCAGCAATATAGTTTTAAAAAAAAAACAAAAACAAAACAAAACATTTCCATGTATTTAACAATGTTTAAAATAACTGTGTTGTTGACGACTTTACATTTTTTACATTAGGAAAAGCAAAATCAAATCATTTAGTTCATTTTTAATCTTTAAAAATTTAAAACAGAAACTAATTCCCAGTTAATTTAATTGTATAAAATATAACAAAGAGATTAAGAAGAAGCCTGATGTATAAATACCAAGAAATAAGAACAGACTATAAACATGGTAAATAAATCATACGAAAAGACATTTCCCTGATTTTGGCTAACTATGCAACCATGTCAGAATACTAATTTTGGGCAATCTTGTAAATGTGCATGTTGTGACAAATCCCTAATTTTGAACATCCCCGTATAATCTTAGACATATAGCAGTCTATAATTTAGTAGAATAACCTGCAAACATGATGAAAAAAAAACCTACTTACATTCACCCTAATAACTTAAGTAGAATTTATGCTTGTTTATCATAAAACTGTCCTTATAAGACAATCCCTTATTTTTAGCCTACCCTGTAACTACGTGAGAAAGCTTATTAATTTTGGACAACCCTGTAACTGTGACAGAATCAAACTGAAAGGGCTGAGTCAATACTTACTGTGTGTTCCATGATAATTGGTCAGTCATAAACCTTCTAAATAATAAATTATAACATTACTACAGATTTTCTGATTCGGTGCAACACTAAGAGATATTTCCAAGTACTTCATCATGTGTAAGATATATATATATTTACTTTGTTTGTTTTTTTTTTCTGAACTTCACTGAACATGTTTTCCCCATTAAAGATTACTCTAAGGATATGTCCCTATTTCAAATGATTGGCTATTTCTGATCACTTACTAGGAGTGAAACAGTTCACCCTGATATCGATTTACCACAGTATTTTTTGTCAATTTGTTTTATGTACAGTGATGTACAAAATCTCATGGGTTTTTTTGTTTCATTTTTCCATCGGGATTGCTATTTGGTCAGGTTTGGCATTAGTAAAAACATGCTACACAGCATGACTAAAACTGTAAATGCGATTTTTGAGGACTAATAGTTTGTAGAATAATCTCTAATAGTCAATTTATTCTGATAAATTTCTTCTATTCAATTTTCACACATGTATATTAAGTTATGAATTTTAGTGAAACAAGACTTAACAGAACTTTGAATTTGTTTCTTTCTATCAAAATATATTGAAAATAATCAAACCATGACAAAATCATACAATATGTATTTATCACGAAGAAAGCATATTGTTTCACCCCTATGACACTTATTAATGTTTACCAGACCCTATTTTAAAGCAATAGATTTATATTCACTACTCAGGAAATATCCACAGCATGTACAGTAAAACCTCGTTATCTCTAACTTGATGGGACTAAGAGAAAACTTCGAGAAATATCTGAGGGTTCGAGATATCGAGGGTAAAATACTTAAGAAATAAGGTGTAGGACTTCCCTATTACTTTGACATATCCATGGTATTCGAGATATCCATGTTTGAGATACTGAAGTTCAACTGTACGTTTTTCCCCAACTGAAATGTTTTAACCAAATGACTTACTGTCCTATGCCAGAGGACATATTAGTGTTTTCCAGGGGATTACGGAAAGCCATGGCTTGCTCGTCTGGTATCATTAAGACTTGTTGATGGTTTTTATTCCAAGTCTGCACTGGTGTTGTTCTTCAAATATGACAAAACTTAAACTGGTACAACTGAAATTATAATATAATTGTGAAATTACTACAAAAAGGCATTTAAATCTTTTTCTTCAAGTCATGAACAGCCAAGAAGTCATGTCTCAAAGTTGGACAAAATTCTACTTATTTAATCATGCAGCTGCAATCAAACAAAATTCTCTTAATATTGCATTATCCTATTAATCTATAAACCTGTACCTCTTTTCACAAAAAATCTTCTGATAATTTTATATCGTAAGAGAAATCTTATGAGTTTATTCCTTTTCACAAAAATTCTTAAGAGATTCTTATGTGTAAAATTTGTCATAACTTTACGAGAGCCCTAACCCTCTTGTAAGTATTTTAGAACCGATTTCATTGTAAAAATATAACTGCAAAAACCAAAATACACATTTAATTGAACTTTTTTAGGCAACTTTGAATAGCATTTTACATTTTTCACAAGTATTGGTTGAAAAAATCAAATGAAATATACTACAAAATATTAACGATGACAGTTTCGTATGACCTACTTTTCCATCAGACTTGTGATTGTGATGTCAGATTTCAATTAGTTAGAATATTCTAACTGTGTCTCGGGACAGGCCCTCACCACAGTTAGAATACGTCCCATATACTTGCAATGTAGCAAATCGGAGTGGATCCACTCCGAAATGATTCTGAAGAATACAAAATGAGTTGCACTGAAAATAACTACCAAATTAATCAAAACAAACCTTTTGAGATTGTGTATGCCTTTTAACCTAAAAATTAATCCATATTATATACGAAAATTCAACTCATTTTCTCAACGTTTTTTCCTCGCTTCAAATTTAACGCCATGTTGACATTCGGAACTCTCTGGATTCTTCATAGAAAATGCACAGAGTTCGAGTTATCGCCCGTGTTTATTTTGCTACATTGCGAATACACGGAACAAATTCTATCGTTAAACCGGGTCCGTAGGACAATATCATTTTAACGATAGAACATTCTATCTAGATTTCAATCTTTCTTGCTCCACAATGGATTGCATTCGAATTTGTTGTCAATAGTGTTTGTTTCACTTACAACAAGTGTTGAAAACTTACCTTCATTTTTATTATCATCCATTTATTTAAGGATTATAAAGCACATTGAGATCGTTGCTAGGAAAGAAGTCTACCATAAGCAGTAAAATCTTAAGTTCAATTTGCTACGAATGTGTTTGTGAAAAGCACTTAAGATTTTTAAAGAGATTCTTATGTTAAAATCTTGCACAAAAACTTAAGATTTTTTGTGGAAAAAGGCTAAGGAAGTCACTAACAGGTTGTGACCAGTAAGAGTCTATTAGGGGATATTATCATGATTTTAGCCAAACAGGACATAAAGTACAAAAAAACAAAAAAAAAATCATTTTGATTCAACTATTGTAAATTTATAAGAAACATACATTGAATATAACAGCTTTAAGCTAGTAATTAAATTTACCTATTACCACTCACTTGATGAGATTGACCCCAAAGATGTTTTATGGATAAATGTCCTAAACATGCTAAACAGTGGGGATTCAGAAAATAGTTGTTGCTTTATGTGCATGTTATGCATTCTGAAGTCCAAGGATTTATCATCTCCAAAGCTAAATGTTTTTTTTTTCACCGTAAATTTATATCCACTTGGGTTATTAAACCCCAGATGGGCTTTTATATTTATCCCATTTGGACTATTACTTCCAAACTGACTAATGTGAACATGATCTAGATTAGGTCAATTTAATGAACATATTTACAAGGATTATCAGAGAACTCTATTGATTCGCATTTAAATAAAATAATGAAATCTATTTCAAATATAAAAACAAAGCTTGCCTTGTATTTTATGAATCATTAGAACATATAACAACTTCGCTTCGACCATATTAAAGTCCTTGACCTTTCATGGAAAATAAACCGATATTTCTTGCGATAAACTTAAAAGTAGTCATAATCGTATGAATTTTTAACTTACCTAAGAAAGAATAAGACAATTTTTGAAACTACATGGTGAAAATCGAACAATAATATTTTTAAAAAATGCACTTTTATCACTGGCTTTTCTCTGATTTACGATGGAACTCTTCTTTACTGGAAGGTATGAAAAAGAAATATTCTAAATGTTAGAACCGAAGCTGAAAAGGGGACACGATTTTTCCCGAAAGAAAAAAATGTTTTGATCCAGTTTTCTTTTTTTTAATATTATTATAACTATATCTATTACAGATGTTTTATTATTAAAGCAACTTTAAAATATCTTATATAATATATTTATTTAAAAGCATTAATTGCATTATGAACTAATTCATGAAAAAGAATAAACACTCTAAAATAATTTTGTTCCAAGTCTCTGGAAAAAAGGAAGTTCTTTTTTTTTTCTTTTTTCTTTTTAATTTATACTTAGTTAATCTAAGATGGAAAGTAAACGGGTAAGTTTTCAGTGCGGAATGTATTTTTGAATATACATACGACATGGAGTAGGAATTTTTACTTCCATAGTGACGTCATAGAACAGAAACGTCACAGAACAATAGGAATTTCGGGAAAAACGCATTCGTTGGGACAGAAAGAATTTTCTGTAAATTCTGATTCCATCGCAACAAGGTTACTACTAGATAAAATAATAATTACGTAAATATTTCCACAATGGGATGCACTTGTTCAACCGAGGCAGTGCCCATTGTGGAAATTCGTAGAAGAAGAAGAACAATCAAGGAGAGAATTGTTAGCTTCTTTTCAAGAAAGAATCGACCAAGAGAGAATCCGGATCCGCATCCACAAGAGGAAACGGAAGAAGGGACCGTCTCAGTGAATGCTCAAGTTGGGGATATCGAATCGGATATAAGCCAAGAGGAGAACACTTCTCTGCCGTTGTGTGAAATAGACCCTCCTTTGCCCACTAGGACATATTCCGATGTGTCTGTAACAGACATGATCGAAATATTCGAGAAGAGCAGGACCAAGAAATCTGTCAGCAGCACTACTTTTACCATTAAACGAAATGACTCAGATTCCAATCTGTCCTGTCCGAAAACACCACGTGACTCCCAGGCAGGACGGGGAAACGTGTCCTCAGAGAAATACAGCTCTGACCGGGAAAGCATCGACTACAAACCCCCTCTGGAGAAGCCCAACCCAGAGAAAAAGCTGAATTTTCATTATCCATGCTATCGAGTTAAGACTTCTAACGTGGAAAAATCACCAAATGTCGATATCTGCATCGGAGCCATTGCTTCAGAGGAAAACATCAGTGAAACAGCTGAAACATCTGAGATAGGAACCTCTCAGAAGACCAACAGCGGAATTTTTGCGAAGAACAACGCATATGAAGCAGCAAACAAAAGTTACAGTTATACATCCACAGCAAGAGATCTCAAGCAGGAGTCTGCAAAGGCATGGGATAGCGGTAACGACTCCCAGAGGAGCGCTTTCGAGAATGCAGGAACGAGTACCAGTGGTCATGCTTCTACAGGCCATGACAACGACACGCCAAAAGATGCCAGCGCTGGCCCATCCACTTGGACCAGTACTAAAATGTATGGCAATTCCCGCCAGCAGACCGCAAAGGAGATAGAAATGGCACTTCTGGCCGCTGAAAACAAACCAATCCACCGCCCTTCCTACCTTATTGATACTCGTGTTATCAATGTCCGCCCTAAAGCAGCTAAAGGCAATCGCAAGCCACCCGATGTATATCAAAGCAGTGCACCAACTCTAACTTACACTAACAACAGTCTGCAAAGCCGTATGCGCGATTTCAACCGCGATGTAGACAGGTTGTTTGAATCCCAGCCACAGCAGACTCAGCCAAGCCAAAAACCCTACAACATCAACAAGCGGCCCAAAGCAGCCCGTGGTGTCAGGTCTCTGCAAACCACTGATATTTGCGGAAACACGAGCGGTTTTTCCAGCGGCAGCTATAGTCTGCGTCCCCAGCTAACTATGCCAGGACTGAGGCTCCCAGAACAGGACGCTCTGGAGAAATTCATGCTGTCTCAGAGGACCAAGGAGGAGCAGAGGACACAGGGCAAGGATAAGGTAAGCAAGTACTTTACATGTTACATACGGGACATTCATTTATGATATGTTGACCACAAAGATGTAACTACACATGTGCATATGCGCGGATCCAATGAGAATGTATCCATGCAGGTAAAAATGGGAGTCCTCATGTTAGCTTGTCTAACCCCCCCCCCCCCCCCCCAGGTATTTGAAATGAGAAAATACATTTTTTTTCATTATAAGCCCTTTTAGAGTAAGTATAAGACAAACACATTCATTTTAAGTTTAAAAAGTGAAAGGGGGGGGGGGGCGAATACCATTGTCATCCGTGCATTAAATACTCTTAATAGCTATGTAATCTAAAGAAATACTGATATCATTATATCTAAATATTATTATTATTAAAGTGTAATTGCTTGGTATAGTAAAGATTTTTCTCCATAAATTCACTCGATCATTTCCTGTTAAGCTAAAAACCTTTAATTATTTTCAGAACTTAGTTAGCACCAAGCACCACTAGAACACACAGTCAACATTTGCAGAAGTTGGAACCTATATCTATTTAGTAATAAAAGTTAAATTACAGAGGAGAGTGAAAATTTCTTGATCCACTCCTACTCCTGCAGAGCGAATTTTTGATAACTTCTAATATTATAGCCAGCAATTACAATTACCAGCCATTATTTGCAAATGGAATCGATCCTTATTTTGTTTCAGGTTTTTGTCAATCCTCAGACCTGAAAGAAGCTTTCAGGTTTTTTTTCTCAATGTATTTATTTGTGTCGATATACAACAACTGAATTTTTTCTACTGCATCTTTTTGTTACCATAGCGTTTAAAACTTAGAGTACTTTTATTTAAACCTTGTATTTTTTTTTAAACAATTCTTGTACTAGATAATTTTTTAACCCCTTTTCTCCCTTTTCAAGGCTGTGTATGTATTTATTCCTTTTATCATATCATGTTTTTACATGTCTTCCACCTGCTTTGTTTGAATGAAATTTACTTTTAAGGATATATTGACATGCACGATATTAGAGTATTTTAAATCCACAATTTAAAGTATATTATGTACCTTTTTAAATGTTACAGTTATTATTTTTAACACCCCCTTTCTCCCACCGTTTTTTTTTCTTTCTCTGTGGTGATGCCTTGCATTTTATGAGGTTCTTTTTCATAATTTTACGTAGAACTGTATTTTGTTTTAGGTTGATAAGAAACGAAATTGTCTATACTTGTTAATCAGATGGGAATTGATATTTTATATTGAATATGTGGTACGGTAGATAAAGGGATTGCTGCTTTGATTAATGTTTTATTGGATGGTTTAAATTGTAAAGGAACCAATCGAATTTCTTGGTGTAGAACTTTACGGTGCGGATACCTGTTTCCGAATTATTTGATGGCTTGGCATTAAAAAAAAGGTCTCTCCTCTTCCATGTTAAATGCTATACATGTATATACAAACAAATATGTATTTTAGTCCAATTGTTCTGCTGTTCTTGAACTCTTTTAATCTTTCATGTTGATTTCACGAGTTTTCATCGCTGTTGGAGAATTAAGGGAAGTTGTTTTACCCATCGAAGGTTTTGTACATACAATGGGCGGATATACAGGTTTCCATTTGTTTCAAAAGCTTTGGGATTCTGGTTCGTGGTATACAGAATTTATGTGCATGTATATGAGTGTGTTAGCGTAATCGCAGATTTTAAAAGAGAAAAACCTCCGGTTCTCAGCGTCTGCCGAAGGCAACTGAACATTATAACTGGTACAGCCAAACACAGATATATATATGGCTATCTTTGATTTGCTTGATATATTTTTTTTTATGCATATCATGTTATTACTTTGTATGCTGTATTATAATTTTTCCCCTTATAGCCAGGGATGATTTTTTAAACATCCCATTTTCATTGCAAAAGGTGTCAGTCGAAAAACAAGGATAGTACAACAGTATAACAGATTTGGGAAAACATGCTTTCTCAGCGGATACTGGAAACAAGTGAAATCGGAAAATTGGAGTGGTTTTTTTCCTCACCACGAGAAACTGAAAACTGCTCCTCAAAACCCCCACCTCCTCTTTTATAAATGTTGATACTATGAATTATTTCATATTAAGTAAAAGAATTTATATTTAGATGCACTTTTCATTTCGCTGTTAAACTTAAAGCAGGAGGGTATATATATGAGCCTATATACATGTAGCTAGATTCAAAACAGAGAAGGGGTTGGGCAACTGATGCCAAAAAGTGGGTTTTCTTAATTTTTTTTTAATGCCATTGTTATTTTATAAAATTTTAGGTGTTTGAAAGAAGTTCTGTGTGTGTGAATGAAAGATTGTTCGAATGAGTGTATGTATGATGTGTAAATTTAAAAATATATATATATATATATATATATATAGAAAAATTAAACCAAAAAAATCAAAAGATATGAAAAAAAAATGAAAAAAGTATAAAAATGGAAAAATACTTGCTATAAAAACTAAAAGATAGACAAAACTCAAATAAAAAGATATAAAATATTAAGTGTGTGAAATTGTGAGTGTGTAAGGGTGAACGGGAGGGAGTGCAAAAGTGTTTTTCTTCTGGAAAAAAAATCTCAAAAAAATTACAAGATATACAAAAAATACTGAAAAAATAAAAAAAAATTATTTAAAATCCAAAAAAAAAACTATAAAAACTAATAAGATAAAAAAAATTCCATTTTGTTTTTCAAAAACCAACGAAAAATTGTTTCATATTCTTTTTGTTGTTGTAAAAGGCCTACAATGACGAGCCAACATACCGGCTTCTTTATTTTTTAATGTTTCCTCTTTTTGTGGTTGTTGTTGTTGTTTTAAAAAGCCTACAATGACAAGAAAACATACCAACTTCTTGAATTTTATAAATGCATGACTTTGTTTGAATGTGCAATGGAATCCTAGAAAAAAAAGGATCATGGCCAATTTTCATTGGCATAACTGGTCAGTTAAAAGCACATGTAAGCTGGCTTTAGGTGTGTTCTTTATACGTGTTTAATTTATGAATAAATTTACATGTTTAAATGATGCACAATTTTACAACTTCTTAAATACTGCAATCGAATGTATCTTGTAGTGTTTTTTTTCTTAATATATCATGTAGTAAAATTTGCTTGTTAAAACTTATGAATTTTTAAATGGTGCTACACTTTTTTATTCTCATGCTAAATACTCAAAAAATAATGAGTGCTGTATTTTTAATATTCATCTACTTGAAATGTTTATTTTAAATAAAATCGTTTAAACATATATGTATACGTATGTATGTTGTCTATATATTTCTTTTTAGAATAACTTCAGCCATCTATAGCCTACATGTATGACAAAATGTGGTTTACATTATTGTAAACATATATCGGTATATACATGTAATAGAGAACCGACATTTGTCCCATATGGTGTCTGTGACGTGATAGTAGCATTTCACTAAACACAGTTTGGTGATGTTAAATACTTTTCAGCACTGCGCACTTGCAAATACGCGCAGAAAAGACGTGGATTATAAAAACGCAGAGTATACGATGTGTATTTGTAAACGCAATCTCCCAGAGTGAAAAATGTCCGATATCATTATCTCAGTTTATGGTCTTGAGGCTGGGTCAAAAACCATAGTATCCTGAAAGGCCTTGTAACAGGCAAGGCATATTTTGAATATGAACGTCCTATCTTCCTTCATTTAAAATGTATCACTAATGATAATATTTTTGATAAGTATGTCAAAGGTCAAGGGTCGAAAATCATAGTACACTGTATAATAAAAAAAAAAAAAAAAAAACTTTCGTCACAGGTAATACACACGAATTTTGAAACTGCCTTATGTTCTCTTTCTAAAGTTTTAACCAATGTTTATCATCATAGGCATCGGAAGCAACCTGAAAAGGGGGGGGGGGGCGCTGGTAAACCAACAAAAATGTTTGAGGTATGAATTTTGAAAAGTACTGTAGATGACTGTAATTCAAGGTCACACGGTACAAATCCATAGTACAATTTGTAAGGCTTTGTAACACGTAATGCATATGACAAATATAACCTTCCTTATCTCATTCAAAAATAATCTTCAATGTTGATATTTTTGAAAAGAAGTTACATGTATAACTTCAAGGTCAACGTCAGGTGTTATAGAAATCATAAAATATTTGGAAAGTTCTTGTCACACGTAATTCACCTGTCAAATAAGAACACCCTATATTCTCTTGTTCAAAAGTAATTGCCAATTTTGATATTTTTGGGAAAAAAGTCAAATCTCATGGTCAAGGTCACGCAGTAAAAAAAAAAAATCAGTTACTACACTTGCAAATGTTTTGTCACAGGTAATATACATGAGAATATAAAAGTCCAACCTTTTCTCATTGAAACATAGGTAATCAAAGATTACGAAGCTCACCTCGACGAATGTTATCTATAAGTAAGGCAAATTTCACATCATATTTTTTTTCTAGTTAGGGTACATCCCAAGATCAATATCCATGCAAATTTGGTTTAAGTAGGACTTATAGATACTTGAAAATAGACCTGCTCAAAAAAACTTTAACCTGTGTAGTAATGAAGAAAATTTTGGTAAGTTCCAACATCCAAAGCAAGTCTGGAAGTTTCATCCTTAAATGCACCATGTATGCAAGTTTAATCAAACAGGCCATAATATTACATAGCTACTCCAAAAAAAAAATTACCCTGGTCACTCATCTGGAAAATGTAGGTCAGATTCAGAATCCAAAGCAAGTCTAGAAGTGTCAATCTCTAGATAATCATCCATGCTAATTTGGTTAAAATATGGCTAAAATTTACTCATGTGGAAAATCTAGGTCATATCCAGCATCCGAAACAGGTTGGTTAGTTACATCCCTAGATGCAAGTTTGGTCCAGGTATGGCTTATAGTTACTTGGGAATAGGACTGCTCCAAAACCTGGTCTCACATGTGGAAAATCTAGCTCAGATCCAGCATCCGAAGCAAGTGTGTATTGTCCATCCCTGGATGCATCATCCGTGCAAGTTAGGTCTAGGTAGGGCTTATAGTTACCTGGGAACGGACCTGCTCCAAAAACTTTAACCTAGTCACTCATCTGGTTAATATAGATCAGATCTAGCATCCGAAGTAAGTGTGGTAATGTCCATCTCTAGATGCATCATCCATGCATGTTTGGTCCAGGTAGGGCTTATAGTAACTTGAAAATGGACCTGCTCCAAAAACTTTAACCTGTTCATTTATCTGGATAATCTAGGTCAGATCCAGCATTCGAATCAAGTGTGGTACACTTGCGGCAATTCCGACCATGTAAATTTAAATGTGTGAAAATAATGGTGTAATTTGAAAAAAATATAACCCAAGTTAACGTATTTTTTAACAGACGGACAGACAAATGAGATTTTATGTCAACTCACTTTTGCGAAGGTGGGGGAAATATTATCAAATCAGTTTTAATAACTTTATATCAGATTAATTAAAAGTAAATTATATGTATTATGACATATGCTTACAATCTACTGCCAAATTCCCAAAAGATATAGATAGCACCTGCTTAATTAGAGAT